TTGCGCTAACAATATCTAGGAAATGGATCACCAACGGCATGTTCGCCGACTACTTTGTCACTGGCTGCCGTACCGAGAAGGGATTCTCGGTGCTCTTGATTCCTCGCGGTGAGGGTGTTGAGACCAAGCAAATCAAGACCTCATACTCGACTGCCGCTGCCACTGCCTTTGTGCAGTATGAGAATGTCAAGGTTCCGGTTCAGAATCTCCTAGGCGAGGAACACAAGGGTTTCGCTGTTATCATGAGCAACTTCAACCACGAGCGCTTTATGATGGTGGCTGCCGTGGTTCGCATGTCAATGATGATTGTGGAAGAGACATTGAAATGGTCCAACCAGCGCATCGTCTTTGGCAAGAAATTGGTTGAACAACCAGTTATTCGTCAGAAGTGAGCCTCCTAGATCATTCCTGCCCATATTTCTCTTCTAACATCCAATAGGATCGCCCGCATGATCTCCCTCGCCGAGTCTAACCAAGCATGGCTCGAATCCATCGCTTACCAGATGTGCAACATGACATACGCCGAGCAAGCGAAGCACTTAGGTGGACCTATCGGACTTCTCAAGTCACACTGTACCCAAGCTGCAGGCGAGATTGCCAGTCTCGCCACGAACATCTTTGGTGGTCGTGGTATCACTCAGTCAGGAATGGGCAAGGTCATTGAAATGTTCCATCGCACATACAAGTTCGATGCCATCCTGGGTGGAACTGAGGAGATTTTGGCAGATTTGGGAGTTCGGCAGGCAATGAAGAATTTCCCAAAGTCGATGTTATAGAGGGGAAGCTTATCGAGCGCATTCATCAATCAGATTATTCTATTCATCAACATAACAGTGCTTGTATGTTTTGTATGCAGCCCTCGGCCTGGCCAAAAATAGAAAGATAAGTGGGGCTGATAGCTGGAGCGGAGGATATTTGTTCCGACGCCACATCTTCCAAATACGGCTAGCTCCAAGTGAGGTCACTTGGGGCATCAACGAGCCGCATCATCACCCCATCTTGTAAGATATTCAGATACTCCGCCATCCAGTATTGCACATCCGAAATATACAAAATCTGTCAAAAATGGCTTCACCGGATGCCCTTCGCCAGGATCATATCCTCGACCTTGCAGTGAAAGCTGTCCAACCCGCGGGCGATGGACAGCCGAGTCTCAAAACACCATATGAGGCTGTGGCTCTGATCGGCCATGCATGCATGGTTGCAGTGGATTTCAGACTGGTCGGTCTCAGTGAAGATCACAAATTAGGTATGTCAAGTCTGTTTCGATAGTATTGGTGAACTTTTACTAATTCCTTCAGAAACATCTACAGATACATCATCCCTCCCCGCAGAATGGAACACTAATGACACATTTGCCTTTCGGTACGCACATTCGCAGTCTTCGATGCAGTATCTGCTCAAAGTGAGTCGGCTGGGAAATAACGCAGTGGTTTTTGCACTGGCCTTGGGCGATGACCGGACCTGCTCGTTCGACATCCCCACCAAAGACTACATATCCGCCACTGCGCTCCCTCTATCGTCCTCGGAGAATATAACTGCGTCCCTGCGAGATATTTTCATCTCACCAGCTCGACTAGGCGACTTGGTCGGTTTGTTCAAAATAAACGTCATCCAGAAACTTGCGCCCGGTTTGTACAAAGAGGGGTATGAAGATCCAAGCCAGCCGCCCAGAGCAAGGCCACAAGAAGAAAGACAACCGGATATTCTCCAGGATGGCTCCCTCCCGCGACCTGCTCGTCCACGTCCATTTGATGATCCCCTAGCGGCAGCTCCCCGCCGTTCCAACCCACCAGACTTTGCCCCGCCCGGGTTCGAAGATGAGCTCGACATCAACCGGCCCCCACGGGGATACCCAGGAGGATATCCAGGAGGACTTGGAGGAGGCAGAAGCCCGTACAACATCGGAGAACGAGATCTCTACCCAGCAGGACTTGGTCCCCATGATCCTTTGCGCGGATCTATGGGCCCTGGCTTTGGTCCAGGTGGCGGGGGTATGCATCCTACCTTTGATGACCCTCTCTTCGGTGGAAGAGGAGCTGGTAGTGGTGGATATGACCCCCGTGCACCCCCCGGTGCAAGATATGATCCTGTAGGACCTGGTGAGCCACCTGTTGGTCGTAATCGAGGACCCTTCGGTAATAATGGACGAGGTGGGGGCGGCTTTGGTGGGTTTGGTGGTGGATTTGGCGGAGACATTATCTAACAAGTGACGAAAAAGTGAAACTATAACAAAGAAGAAGCTTCTTTGTTCCTAAATGACATATTTCAACATTAGCAAGAATAACAAGAAGCTACAGTCATGTCTCGACGACCTTTTTTTGACATGTTTTCCTCCGTATCTTTTGGGTGCATTGTGTGAAACATCTTCCTACACATCTATTTTATTGTCTGGTTAAGAGGTTTAACATAAACCAACAAAGATATGAACCTGATCGTTCTATATAATAGTCAACTTGCTGTAGTTGATAATTACGTAGACAGCACTGGAGAAAGCGGTGTGTGGCTGAAGTGTGGCGCTTCTGTTCACCACTCTCAACTTGACCTTCCCGAACTCCCATCTCTTCTCCCTTTCTCGCGTTCCCAACCCATCCCCTTATCCCTTGAATCAATCTTGGGAAGTTGTCTTTTAATTGAATTTCCATCTGGAGCGTAGTTATCCCACATATTTTGCAAACCCCACGATACTCGCGCCCATCCACGAATTCCGTTTTCTCACGAGACCGCCCCTCCCCAGCTGGCCCCTCCTTTTCAGCCAGCTGAGCATACCGACGCAATGGATAACAACATGGAAATCGATACTGCGCGGTCCCCCGAGCCACACCACCTGTCGCCAACAAGCGACCCCGGGTCCATACCGACTTTGGACGGCTGGATCGAGAGTTTGATGACTTGCAAGCAATTAGCGGAGGAAGACGTGCGGCGGCTGTGCGATCGGGTGGGTTCCTTGTTTTGACAGATTGATGAGAATGAGCTCAAGTTGATCATTTCTGTGTCTTCCAGGCAAGAGAGGTATTGCAGGAGGAATCCAATGTGCAGCCAGTGGTATGTTGTTTCTCGGTCGGGTTGTTATCTTGCCCGTCCAACCTACTGACCCTATCCGACAGAAATGCCCAGTGACAGTCTGCGGTGACATACACGGCCAGTTCCATGACTTAATGGAGCTTTTCCGCATTGGCGGTCCTAACCCGGATACAAACTACCTCTTCATGGGTGAGTGGACAACGGTCGGATGAACGCGTTGTGGGGTAACGTTTTTTAATATTTCTTGATATAGGTGACTATGTCGACCGTGGTTACTACTCAGTTGAGACAGTGACCCTCCTGGTCTCCCTGAAGATCCGTTATCCCAACCGTATTACCATCCTTCGTGGAAATCACGAGTCCCGACAGATCACACAGGTCTACGGATTCTACGACGAATGTCTCCGCAAATATGGCAATGCCAACGTGTGGAAATACTTCACCGACCTTTTCGACTACCTTCCCCTCACTGCTCTCATCGAAAACCAGATTTTCTGTCTTCACGGTGGACTGAGTCCGTCCATTGACACTCTTGACAACATCCGGTCGCTTGATCGTATCCAAGAAGTTCCCCACGAGGGTCCCATGTGTGATTTGCTCTGGAGTGATCCCGATGACCGATGCGGATGGGGAATCTCTCCCCGAGGTGCTGGATACACGTTCGGACAGGACATTTCCGAGGCCTTCAACCACAACAATGGCTTGACTCTGGTGGCACGTGCCCATCAATTGGTGATGGAAGGATATAACTGGTCGCAGGACCGGAACGTGGTTACTATTTTCTCAGGTATGTTTTTTTTTTCGTCGCTACATTTGACGACTTAAAACTCTAACCGGACTACAGCACCAAATTACTGTTACCGCTGCGGCAACCAGGCCGCCATTATGGAGATTGACGAGCATTTGAAATACACATTGTGAGTACCACTGCAACGTATCATTTCTTGGATATCTTACTGACATTACCAAGCCTACAATTTGATCCCTGCCCCCGAGCAGGAGAACCTATGGTATCGAGGCGCACACCCGACTATTTCCTTTGATAGATTTCATTTTTGTCCCCCGAGAGGCAATTGGACTGGCGGAGAAAGAATGGGGTTGCAATCGAACAGGGCTCTCGCCTACTTAATTCTGTATGGTTCGATGCCTGGCCACTTGTTGATACCAATCATGAAAATAAAAGACCATTTGCAAGACCCAGTTCCATGAGACTACAGGAACACCCAGGGTATATTCCGGATTGTGGGTTAATACCTTTCTCTGGTTAATTGAGGTAACAGGGCTCTCTCGATGGTATTATTTAAGAGCCGAGATATACGCATAAAGGCTAGAATTCAATATGATTCCCTTGTTAATAACTGGCACTAAGTGGTTGATCGTCGCCTGCAGCTTCGTAAGTGTCAGAACTTCCAGCAAGATCGGACATCTCACCGCTGCCAGTGCAAGCCGTCTCATCATTGCGTGGTGTCTTTGGGGCCAGGGTTCTTCTACCATGAATAAAGTCCGTCCACTGAGAGAAGGCATTCCTTAAACCACTGGCGGGTATCAGTAACGCGTTGAAACTCCACAGCATCGAATAGCCGCCTGAATGTTCTCGAAGAGAATAAGATTTCGGTCGATTGTAGGGATCTGATTTCACCGAATTTAAATGAAGGTGTGATTTGAACATCATCATATCAACATACTAAAGTCTCACAGTCATCGGCTTCAGTTATAGACAAAGAGTTTGTCCACATACCTAAATCCAAGATGATATCCGTGGTGATGACGTTGTTTGAATAGAGATCTGGTTGATGTTGCGAGGCAAGGAGAGATACTGTATAGCCAAGGTACGTAGCACCAGCATTCAGTTTTATACAATAGTTAATTCATGGTATCATTGATGGTCTGACATTAAGTATATTATACATGGAATATGGCTCTATCTGTTGACATTAATTAGCACAACCTGGGAGCTCGAATGAAGCTCTCTCGGATCATTTTGTTTCTTCAACCAGGCTCTCAGACATGCTGCTACTCTCGACATCCCGATCATGAGCCGGAAGATCGATGCTATTCTGTGCACCTTGGGCGTTCTTCTCAATGCCCTCATCCCGTCTGTAGTGGCGCGCTTTCGAGCTTCCATTCGGAACCCAGAATCGCTGGTCAACACGACCAACAAAGAAGATAGCCACGACCACAATATCAATGGTGAAGTTGAATATATAGAAGCAGGCTTTGCTGTGATACCAGGCTGGGTTGGTGATAGGGCGAGGTGTCATCCAAGATGTAGCTGCACGGAATGATGCGCCGAGACAGAGCAATGCGCTGACAAGTACGACGATGAAGACTTTGACGACCGGGCTCCCCGAGCCAACCTGCTGAATTCGCTTTCTGTTTGGGGACAGAAGGACAAGCAAGACAAGAGGAAGCGGTAGGAACGAGATGATGGAGAAGTAGGTCTGACCATAGATCAAAATATCGCGATCTATGCGAAGGGTGTTTGGGTTGAGAGTATACGAACTCTGAACAACAGAAGTGATAACCATAATGATGGTCACCACGACAAGAACGTACAGTGCTTTGAACGCCCACGATAGGGTTCGAGACCATCCCAGGGCTGGATAAACAGCTCGGAACATACGCTGTGCGTATAGCAAGTTCAAGATGAAAAGCAGCAGCACGCCTGCTGCAACGAATATCTGTGCTGCGATCGCGACACTAACGTTCGTCGGATGACAAGCCCAGACGATGCGCATGATATTTGCGATAATACGCGACATGCAGAAACCGAATGTCGCGCCCGATGGAATGAATTTGTGGCCTCTAGCCATATTGCGACGGAACAGGGTCATATGGCAGGCACCACCGGCGATGAAAAGGGCGAGGAAGACGGCGCATACTGGGACATCAAGGGAGATTGTCGGCCGACCCCCCATGGAGGCCATTCTAGGCGAATAAGGTCCTCCCATTTTTTTTTCTAGCGGTTTGTTAGAGTTGGCTGTAGAGCAGAAAGTTGGATTACGAACTTGAAAATGCGATAAATTTCCTTGTTTCGATCAAGAATGTAATTCTGTCAAGATTGAGCCTACAGACTCAAGGGGGAAAACGTAGTTCGTATTTAACGTATGATGTACAAATGCGGCCCCCAAGCCTTATGTATACTTTAGTTCAGTCGCCAAGCTTCTAAATTTTGATTTGGAAAACACTTAGATATCGCAGATCGGGGTCTATTTGATGCGACAAATCTATATTTTCCCCGTCTTCAACGAAATGTCCTCGCCCCCGGCATTCGCGCGGACGCCGAAGCGCCGACTACCGACCTCGGACTTAAGGGATTCGAAACCTCCATAAATAATTGTAGGATCAGATCGAAGGCAGTCAAGAAGTTGCTTATTATATATCTTTTTTTAGTTTCTATATTGAAGTCAGTAACCTTGGTACCCTACCGGCAGAGCCGCTTAACCTTATATAGACTTCGGTATCTACTCTCGGATTTAGTGGAATAGTAAAACATCTACCATTCAGAGATGAGTACATACTCAAAGTCGTATATCCTGAGCTAGGGGAATATGCGAGGTAGTATAACGAACTAATCTCGTGTTGTACAGTTTGTGATGAGAAAGCCGAGTACGTTTGTATACGATATATCAGTTTGGGCTCCGAGTTAATACAAGCTCCAAAGTATCGCAAATGATTCAAATCGACTTGTTCAGTACTTTTATGTCAGTGATCCCGGTAAAACTCATTTTCCAAATAATTAACCAGATTATGCAGGCTTTTGACTATCCAAAGGCAACTGCTTGGTTGAACGGCAGGAATTTCGTTAAGCCAGTATTGGTCTGACGAAAGTAGAACACTGCCTCATTGATAGTTCAAGAAGGCTTGCAGTTGCTCGTCATCCTTCCTGCACGTAAGCCTAAGGATAGGAAAGCGTAGGGCAATTTTCCCGGATGATATCAAATGATCCAATACAAATCGAAAGCAGACGTCGAGCACTGAAAGGGGAAGAAGCGGGATAAGTGTAATGTTAATATATTTCCGAGATGGATGTCGACTACATTCTATAGCTGTTGTGCAACCATCCACTGCATTTATACCCGATCTTGACCTCGCATATGCTGTGTTTATATATATGATGGCACCAAAAGGATTGCGTAACATGTGGGTGACCGTAAATGTAAACTTGATGTCTCGGCTCGTCGTGGACAGGTGACTTTCTGGACAATTTGTATATAATAACCTATATATACTTACTAAAATTACTTAATTTAATAACCATTACATCTCTACAAAAGTTGAAACCCCTATAAACTTCATTGCTCATAATCTAGTAATGACGCCCACTCAATCATCTTCCGGGGATACCCCAAATCCCACGGAAACTCTCTTGGTTACGGGAGGCTCCGGCTTCCTAGCATCCCATGTCGTCCGTGAGCTATTACGACAAGGCTATTCTGTTTTAGTCACGGTTCGATCCGAGGCCATGGCAAAGAAGGTTCTCCAAGCACATGCCCAGTATAGCAATCGGCTTTCATTTATTCTTGTTCCAGATATGACTGTCCCGGGTGCATACGACGCGGCTGTGCAAGGTGTCACCGGGGTGTTTCATATATCTTCGCCCTGTACATTTACCTCGCCAGATAACGTCAATGATCTTCTTATCCCGGCTGTATCTGGGACTCGGGGGATCTTGGAGTCTATCAAAAAACATGGCCCATATGTCAAGCGGGTTGTGTTGACCTCGTCAGCAGGCGCGATCGTCGATCCGATTGTTGGCTTTGATCGTATTCATCCTTATACCGAAGGCGACTGGACAAAAGTAACTTGGGATGAGGCGGCGAACGGATCAGGAAACCTCGGATACATTGGTAGCAAACAGTTTGCCGAGAAGACGGCGTGGGACTTCATACAAAATGAGAAGCCCTCCTTCGACCTCGTCACTATTTGTCCTACATTTATCGTACGTGCTTTGAATCTGATATCCAATTTTCACAGACTAAGTGGACTTTAGATTGGACCAATTATCATCCCAACCCAGAATATGCGTGCGAACCCTAGTTTTATCTCTCTGTACAAACTCTTGGACGGAAAGTTAGACAACCTAGGAAAGGTGCTTTTGCCTGCTTACGTTGATGTTAGAGACTCGGCAAAAGCTCATGTTCGAGCTTATGAAGAAGCTAATGCCTCTAACCAAAGATATCTAATTTCATCCGGGTCCCTCAATCTACAGCAGGTTGCTGATATCATGAAAAAGCACTTCCACTCACTCGTTGGACGCCTCCCTGTTGGAAGGACCGAGGAGCGTGGGGTGCTCATTATGGATAGCAGCAAGGCAGTCAGAGACCTTGGGTTTGCTCCGAGAGGACCGGATGAGACTGTTGTGGACACCGTGCGTCGGCTTTTGGAAATTGAGGCGACTGGATATTGAACTATGATGTCAAAAAATTGTCCTGCACTTTCCTTTTGGGTTACATATATTATTTTTTCGTGGGACTAAACTTCTATAACAACCCGCTTAGTACAAAAGAGGTCAGTATATGCTTGACATGTTTTCTTGTTGATATGTCTACAGGCATTTAAATTTCCGTTTGGTCGGTTAGCTTTCATCCAGTATGATTTCGAGTAATTAGGTCCAACTGTGACAAAACGGGTTGATATTTTCGTAGAATAAAACAATAAATCAGGTTAAAAGTACATAGAAAAATGACTATTTCTTCGCCTTCTTGGCCAAAATTTCCTCAATCTCCTTGGCGTATGAAGAGAAATTGTCCACCAAGTTATCCCACATCTTAGGCTCATGCTCATGCTTCTTCTCGCTGTTCCATGCATAATCCGTAATTGTGAAGGCACGGCAAGACTCGAACATGAATGCAATCGATGCCTGGGATATCTGCATCACTGGTGGCACACTATCAGTGGCTTCCTTGAACTCTTCATAGGCAACGCCATGGGGGACCACTATAGAGATGATCAGCATTGACTCGTATTAATGGGGAAGTTTCAGGATAATCATACTGCCACATTCGAATGAAACACTGCCGGGCTGGAATTCGTCCGAGCGGCCACCATAACCGCCGTAGATAAGACCCATTAGTTCAGATGCGGCATTGCGGTGGTAGTAGGGAGGTCGGTATGTGTCTTTATTATTGTTAGCATTGTGCATGAACCAATACATTGACCAGACATACGTGAGGCAACATCCCATCGAGGAGAGAAAGTGAGGAAATCAGCAATAGGTGCGGTGAGATCGCGGGATTTGGCTGTGAGGACACAGAAGATAGACGGATCGATGTGATCCACGGAGACGGAGCCGACGTTGACGAACTTGGTCAAGTCATATTTATAGGGCACCTTAACGATATTAGTTGAGATCTCATATCATCACCAGAATGACACCAACTCACATAGTTTCCATGCCAGGCCACAACGTCATACGGGCTGTGGTTCTGAGTGCTCTTGAAGAACTTGCCGCCAAGCTTGTAAATAATCTCCCACGACTCTTGAATGACCTCATATTGAGCAATAGGACTTAAGAAGTCCCGAGTATTAGCAAGACCATTAGCACCAAGGGGTCCAAGCTCAGGGAGCTCGAATTGTGTACCCCAGACCTCGAGGATGTATCCACGCGAGGGTCCGTCTGGAAGGTTGACGCTGAAGCGGATACCACGCTGGATGATAACAATCTCGCCTGGCTGCACAAAGATGGGACCGAACTCAGTTTGAATGTCGAGGGCTCCCTGTTGGGGAACAATGAGGAATTCACCATCGGAGTTAACAAATGACTTCTTCTTCATGCTTGAGTTGGCGATGTAGACGTGTGTGGCCAAGCCTTCGCGCAGCGTGGGATCACCCGCGCCGGCGATAGTCTTCAATCCTTGAACGAAGTCGACATCTTCGCCTGTAGGGATATCAAAGGGGTGCCATGCTAGCTGGGTAGGGGATACGTGGATGCGAGGGTTCAAAGGCAGGAAGTTTGACTCAGTGTCTTTGTTATCTGGGAGTTCGGTCTGCAGGAGATGTCAGCACTGATACCCAGAGCGAAGAGCAAGTGTACTTACAAATCCCTGGTGAGCCACAGCAGGGCGGACACGGTATAGCCACGCCTTCTTATTACAGTGTCGGGGAGCGACAAAAGCAGTGGCTGTGATCTGCTCGGCGTAAAGACCGAATCTCACGTTGCGAGGGCTGTTTTGGCCCTGGGGAATAGTTCCAGGGATGGCTTCAGATTCGAAGCTGTTCAAGGGTTATTAAATCAGCATGGCGATTCGCTAATTTTGGAGATGTAGGTTATGCAAGGATACATACGAATTGCCAAAGCCGGATTGATACTATAGAAGAGTCAATGAGAGGCCCACTAGCTTAGATATCATGGAGCAACATACCTCGTAAGGATCGTTACGTCTTGTGTTAAAGGAAGGGATAGCTCCATCCTTTTGGGTCTCGGCCCAGTGGAATATCTTTTCATACTCCTGGGGATCCTTCAAGGAATCAGTAGAAGGAGGCATCGTGATAGAAACTGCTAGAAAGCGTAGGATAAACTAGAAAAGGTGATGTCTTATTTGGCTTCTCCAGTAAACCCCGGGGGCTCAACACCTCTATATAGCTACTTCGCTGTAAACGACCAGACCATGCTTGTGGGGTCAAGATAAAAAAAAGAAATAACACAATCCAGTATTCCTAACAGAATTCTCCATTTGATCCGACTAAGCGGGGAGAAAATATACGGCAAGGCACGGATACGGCTTCAGAATATGCGTCATGGCCACGATGAATTCAGGTGGACGCGAAATGTTGGCGCTTGGATACTCTAGCGGTCAAATCTCCCCGCAAATCGGCAAAGTCAGAGTCAATCGACTTGCCGGAGCCCCCGGGTGGACCGGATTGACGCGGTGTATAGAGAAGTATGTGTCTCATGCGAGGAGGCATTGTGGACAGACCCCAGGCCCCACATGAGTAAGGGCTGAGTAACGGTGGAGGCTCTGTGGAGAGAAGACTAAGGGGCTGTTTCGGTGGAATATGAACGGGATTTAGTTTGGTAGTTCAACTGCCGAGATCTTAAGAATTTGAAGTCAAGTGATCAAAAACATTAATTTAGTTTGAATTTAATGTGAGTATATGATCATTAGATGTTTGGTATTGGAGTGGCAATGGTGTTGAAGCAACTGGCCAAATATATACTAGAAATAGACAATGATTCTGTAACAGTTCACTTGATTATATCTAAAAGTCTATTATTTTAGACTAATTTAATAAACTAATTCTTCCTGCAGTCAAAGCAAAGGCAATAGGCATATACGCGCCAGGTCCTGCTTCCTTAAGCACCTTGCAATGCTCAAGTCTCCGACGAGCAGCGACCTGCGACTCATCAATCTCCTTGCACTCACCCACAGGTCCAAAAGCAAATCTCAGATCGGCAGACCAAGGTCCATCACCGCTGACAAACCGAATCCAACGTTCGCGCATCTCCTTTCCAACAGCGCTAGCTGCAGGATTGAACGATAGATCAACGCCGTCGAAGAGGAACAGCAGATCAACGGCATGGTGCGCACGACTAGATGGCTGCCAGGGATTGGACTGATCTATCACGTATCGGAAGACACGCTTGCCGGCCGCGCGTAACTTGTCGGTAACAACCTCGACGGGAAGAGTATACCGAATATCATTGACAAGATCTAGAGCTCCCAGCTTGGCAGCAGTTGGGCGATCACCGACAACGTGATACATTTTTCGAAGCTGGGTACCCCATTGCTTATCGCTGTCGAATGCAGCTGCGATCGTCTCTCCATCGAGTTGTTCGACGCCGTTTCGCCAAATAACAGACTAAGGCACAGATTAATAATGTCCCAAGGACCCGTTGTAGCTAGGCCTTGACCCACCTCATATTCGACATCACCAATCATCACTTCCTCAACCTGTTCAGGCTTAGTTTCCCAACCTGCCAGTTCAGGCTCCTCTTGGATCCACATTGTATTCACATTGCACTCTTTCAGTGCTTGAACCAATACAGCCACGGAGGATTCGCGCAGTGAAGTTTGACCAAGCTCTCGAACCTTTGCCTCTAGTACTTTAATAAGGCCATCTCCCTTTTCGACTGGTAGTGGCGACGACAGATAAAGAGTGCCAGATGCCATGATAGCCCTTTTCACAGGAGGGCCAGTAATAAGATGAGCATGGGTGTAGATAGCGCCAGCACTTTCGCCCGACAGGGTAATATTTTCCTACACGCAATGAGCATAATTCGCAAGAAAAGGTGAATATCAGACTTACCGGATCACCCCCGAAACCAGCAATATTCTGTCGCACCCACTCAATGCCCAGACGCTGATCTTTCAGAGCCAGATTCTTTTCTTTGCCATCTCCGAAACTGAAGATATTCAGGCGGTAATTGATCGACACGAAGATAATAGGCTTGCCTGCCTTGATAGAATCTGCGACAATCTTGGTCGGGTCACAAATCTTAGAAGCAGCAGAGCAGAAAGTGACGATCTGAGAGCCGCCATGGATCCAGACGAGAACAGGAAGAGGACCTGTCGCGTCAGACTTGGGAGGACATGTAATCTCTAGATTCAGGCATTCGAATTCGTCCACCGCTTCCGGGGCAATGACAAAGTCTTCTGGGATACGGAGTAGATGACGGACGTCTACATCTGGCTGAGGACAGATCGGACTGTATAGAATGTCGGTATATTAATTCGATTATACCTCGATCGTGGTCTTTGTCTGTGTAGGTGTGAATATAGCTTACCCGTATTTCGAGGCATCAACAACGGCTCCATTGAATTGGCGCACAGGCTCGGCCTTCTCGAACCGTGCCGGCACACTGGCATATTTTATACCCAGGAATTGTTGAACGGGCACATTTTGGTCACGCTGGATGCCCTTGAAGGTGGCATTCAGGGCTAAGTGTTGGATTTGAGGAGTCGTCATTGTAATTACTCAGTACTTTAGAACTGGATAGGTAATGAAAAAAAAAAAAACAGATTGGAGCATCTTGGACAATGGTGGCATGGCTCACCGGGGCACGGCTCACGGCTGATGTCCTTTCGAACAAGTCCCGAGCCGATTTTAGCACAGTCTTCGTGGGGCTGCGGGGAACTGTGGGGAGTTCAAGAGAAAATATTTTGTTACCAGAATTTGGTTTGATTTATAAATTTCAGAGGGATGTCATTGATATGTGATATGCGTAATGGTGTTGGAGTTGAGAGTGCTGAAAACAAGGGTGTCATGCCTGATAAATCAGGCTGGAGTGGGGATATGTACAAAGTATGAAGTTATTTAACATAGTTAAATTTGGTTATGTTTGCTCATAGACCAGTGCTATCTGTCACTTGGCCTTCATTTTCTGACTTGACTGGCTTTCTCAAGATCCAGCCACCAACGAACAGCAGGATTGGGATAGATGATATGCCAGTTATCAATCCTAATGCCCATCCCATCGCCCCCCAGCCAGCCTCCTGACGAATAAATCCCGCAAAGAATGGCCCAATCAAACTCCCAGATGCGAATCCCATATTCGACAGCCCAAAAGCTAGAGCCATAGCACCACCACGACCGAAGATATCAGGAGTTTTATCTTCCTTTTCCTTCACAGCGAAGAAGACCTCCACAATGAGAGGTGGCATAGCCACAGCAATGCACACTCCAACACAAGCGAGGAGGGCACATAGGAGAATCTTCTGTTGCATCGAGTTATGCGTGACAAGACGTAGAAGCACCATTACAGGAACGGAAGCGAGGAATGCCGCTGCGGTGATGTAGCGACATGATTTGGGATAATTGTCGATAACATATCCCGTCAGTGGGTCTAGAAGGTGTGGCACCATGAGCGGAATGAAGATCAAACCCTGGCCACTCTGCTGCCACCGGAATGTCTCTTGCACGAAGAGTGGAAGGACACTGTCAAATGAGGTTAGAACTATTGACAGGATGAAGTATCCCCAGACGGACACGACGAGACGGGGCGAGGTCAACAAAATGGCGACACGCCCGAACGCACTCCGTGAGGGTGGAGAAGGCGGTTGGGATTCACGGGGCCCGTGTTCAGAGCCATTGGTCGGCGACATGGGACGGTGTATTTCCCCGGACTTTTTTTCCGTCGATTGATCTCCATGTATAGAGAGCGGTGTCATCTCCGGCGCAAGCCATTTGATAGCATGTCTTCTCTCGATCAGCACCAATCGTAAGATGATATCGATGGCGATGAAAGCGAAAGCAAGGCCAAAAACGGCATAATATCCACCATTCTCATAGACAACTCCACCAAGAAGAGGTCCAGCCAGCGTTCCAATACTGATAGCCATGGAGACATAGCCAATCGCTTGGCCGAGGTCGTCTTTCCCGACAGTGTCTACCATCAGTGCCAAGCCGGCTGTCCACACCACCGCAGCGGCTGCACCTTGAAACAAGCGACCAACAATCCACAACCCGATATGAGTGCCGACACATAGTAAGGCTGTCGCAGCGGCCAGCGCAACGAGACCAACTAGCAAAGGCCATCGGCGGGATTCGGCTCGATCAGCGACGTACCCGACAACGGGCGCAAAGGCTAATAAAGCAGCGGAGTACAGAGCGAGAAGAATCGATGTCCAGCTTTGAACATCCCCCTCTGAGATGCCGACTCTATCTTTCAATGCAGTTGGTGTGACCGGTACGATAAGGCCGTACATGAAGATGTCCGTCCCCGTAGCAAACGCGACGACGAACATGATAAACCATTTTGATGACCTTAACTCGACGAACTTTGGTCGCTTTTCTTCCTTCTCAGATGAGGAGGGCCACCTCCATAATGCCATGGCAAGTAGAGGTGTGGGTGAGATTTGAAATCGCAATCAGCGTAGGACCAGATCGACCCCACAGGAAAAGGAGCTCTCACAATGCCGGAAGTCAAGGTAAAGAGATAAAGAAAATATGTGCAACGTGCGATGAGCTTGATTTATGATCTCCATCTGATAAGAAAAGAAAATGAAACTACCTAAGTAGTCCAAGTCCAAGTTGATAAATTGTCTCCGATCGGAGCCCGCGGGCCCCGATTGCAAATCTCCCGAGAATATAACCAACCCCCTTTTAAGTCTTTGCCCCGAAGCAGAACTGTGCGTGTTTTTTTTTACAAGTTCCTCTCCCATGTTAAGTCCTCTTTTGTTGGATCATTTCACCAAGACTATAATCTAGTGCCCTGGCCAGCAACTCCCACTGGTCTCTACGCGTATATCCCCGAAGCCTTCAACCAAGAAATCAATGGTCCAAGATATTCGAACTACTATATATTTCAATCAGGCTCTCTGTATACTTACAAGGCATACTATTGAGGAGTGGCAGCTTCTAACAGATAAGCTGAGGTTTATAACTGCCAGGGGCTCGTACTAATACTCCAGCTATCCGAGTCTTATCCAGGAGTAGCTCGCTTGACAGCAGGGGACTCAGACGCGTAAAAAGGAAAATGATTTCGCTGAATCGAAATCATTTGGTATCATATGAGCAACTTTGCATGTACTACAAACACACCCGCAGTGAATATTACCTCCTTTGCCATACCAGCCGAATGCTTGGCCCAGTCAGCCAACCAAAGGCCATCACGACATGTTTGAAAAAGCAAACTTGAACAAGGGCCGTAATCAGGGCCGGAACCTGATTTCTCGGAAACAGAATATGTCTCAACTAGGGCATCCTCTTTTCCATCTGGTTTTCCATCTGATGAATCCGCCTCGATAGTAGCCAGAGCTGGAATATTAGCTTGATTCTGAGACTGGGTCACAAAGAACATACCTCAACTCGCTGCTCCAGAGAAGCGATCGTGACTACAAACAGACCAATATATAGGATGATGGTAGTCAAGTCAGCGTCCATTTTGAGTTGAAGGTAGAGAGAAAAGGAAGTAGAAGCCCAGAGAGGCAAGAATGTGTAGTTGAGCAGAAGATAAAGAGGAACAGAAATATAAGAGTGGAAGTTTTATCTAATTATCAAGGTATGATTCAACAATAGTCTACATCCATGGGACTTGGGACCGGTGCCCAATGGTCTTAGCCAAGAACATAAGAGTCCCCTGGCGGACTCAGCCATTGTAATTTTATAGACCTATATTCAGTTGAAACAATGAGCACATTGTTGGGAGTCTATAGTCACATTGATCAAGTAGATTAATTGTAAACAACAAGTCATGTTTATAGGAGGCTGGGTCCTGCCTCCATCAAGTTCATATTGCCTTGGAAGATCCTTAAAGCTTTGTAAGTTAGTGACTAATAGTAATGAGCAAGGAGCCCATTACTTATAATATGAAGATTTCTGCCAGTATACCTAGGAAACAGCCGGTTAATTTCTTTCCTATAACACATTCTGAAAAGTCGGCCAAAAGTCTGGAAGAGGTACTTGACATCATGGTTTCGAATGTACCACTCAAGGAACCCTCTGAGGCTCTGACAACCATCACAGTCAAGATTTGAAACCAGTACCTGGGGTCTAGCGGTCGTGATATCAGGCAAAATCTGAAATCGTCAGTTAATCTAGTTTATTCTCTATGTAAGTCAGACGCTGGCCGTGATGAGATCTTGGAATGTCCTAGGCGGAAATGCCACGGTTTTTCGAACTTACTGCAACGCGCAACCATCCAGCATCACTGTTACACTGACGTTATAGAAGACTTTACTGATTAGATTGGCCATGTAGGGGCATGTACATCTGTCAAGTGATACAATATTTGGAATACGCAAAAATAAGCCCCAATTTCTAATTGAACGGTTTGAATTGTTATCTGAACACGTGCTATCAACACAGAATATGTAGCCCTCGAATCACAGACGAGCTTTAGGCACTTGCACTTGACTCTTCAGCAAATCCCTCAGCTCTCTCCGCAGAATCTTCCCACTGGGCGACTTGGGAATTTGGGTCAAGACTTGGATGCCCCCACGCAGGCGCTTGTGGTTGGAAACGCGCTCATTTAGCCAAGCGTGGATCCCATCAAGGACAGCCTTCTGATCTCTGTCCTTAGCTTGGCGACTCAAAACCACAAAGCCAACCGGGAGCTCAGTGGCCTTGTCCTCCACCCAGATTCCAGTCACAGCCGCATCCTCCACGTCAGGGTGGTCGACGAGCTTTCCCTCCAGCTCGCTAGGGATGACCTGAAGTCCCTTGTACTTGATCATTTCCTTGATGCGATCCAGGATGGCGACATACCCATCTCGATCGATGGTGCCGATATCGCCGGTGCGGAACCACCTCGTTCCATCCTCGTCCACGTGGTATGACTCTTTTGTCGCTTTCTCATTGTTGTAGTAGCCGCTAACCACGTTTGGACCACGGCACCAGATCTCCGCAGCCTCTGTGGACCCGTCAGCTTTGACCGCTGCGTCTTTCATGGACTCGGGATCCACAAAGCGGAGCTCCATGTTCGGGGCAAGACAGCCCACGCCCGTGTTCCGCTTATCCATGCGGTCACTTGGGACGATGGTCGCCAGGGGCGATGTCTCTGTCAGACCCCATGACTGGGTACAGAATACCTGTGTCTTGGCAATAGCTGTGAGCTTGTCTTCGAGGGCGGTGGCTAATTCGATGGTAAGGGGCGCAGCGGCGGACATGATCTTGCGGACGCTGCTGAGATCGTACTTGGAAACCCGGGGATCCTTGACCAACATCAGAGCAATGGGCGGCACCAATGACAACTCGTCGGGTCGGTATTTCTGGATGCAACTGAGGTACAGATCGAGGTCGAATTTGGGCATGATGGCCACTGTTGTGCCCCACACCAAACACTGACACATGAACAGGTTGAGTCCATAGATATGGCTAAATGGCAGGAATGCGATAGCGGATTTTCTTGCTGGACGCTGGGAGGGAAGACCACCGTCTAGATAGTGGCGCCATTGCTGAAGATTTGAGGTGATGTTCTTGTGTGTTGTGACAACACCCTTGGCTGCACCTGACGTTCCAGATGAAAAGCAGATGAATGCCGGTTGGTGATCTGTCTCGGACGGATCGATAGCGAGGAAATCACCGGGGGCAAATGTGCTGGCGAGGTAATTGCATGTAGGTTGACCATTGACTAGTGATTGGCCATCTATCAAGACGATCTTCTCAATGGATGTTCCCTTTGCTGCTTTTTGGGCAGTGTTCAGCAAAGATGAATGGACAATGATGAACCTGGCTCCGCTAGTCGTGAGTTGAGCATTCAGCTCAAGTGCGGTCAAGGCTGCACTGGTTGGAGCAACGATAGCTCTGGAGCCGATAATTGCATGGCATACCACAGGGTAATCGATTGTGTTGGGGCTCAGCAATGCCACAACATCGTTGGGCTTCACGCCAATAATTTGTCGAAGCCCATTGGACAGAGAGCGTGTGCGTTGAATCACATCTCCGAGAGTATATTGCTCTCCTGAGATAGCGTTGATGTACAAAGGACGGTCCAGGGGTGTGTTGAGAGGGTTTGAGAACAGATAGGATATCAAATCAATAGATTTGATATCCAGATCTGGATATGGGGAGCGGTAAATTGATGGCATTTTAGATATATATGAACCGTTAAATTCCAAAGACTCAAAGCTTCAATGCTATATAGATATACTTAAGTATATTGTCAAATACCTCGGGAGTAGGACTCGGCATTGAGGGCTTCATACGTGTTCCGTACAAAATGTGGGCCCCCGCGTTTTGTCTCCGCGTTGCGTTCTAATTGGATGGGATATCAACTTGCCCTTGTCTTAAGACTCGGCCCTTTCTGGCTTCCTCGGTTCATTTGCTTTCATAGAGGATATGAAAGTAAGCACGTATGTTGTACATCCTGGGCAGGACTTGTGTACCTGGGTACCTGGGTACCTGGAATGTTTGCTTTGTTTGCTCTGTTTGCCATGCCCCCTTTCCACAGAAACGTGTATGTTGTACAAGAGACCACCAGACTCTTGACTGTTGATTATGATCCTCCCTGGGCGCTCTCTCATCGCCCGCTCCATCATCCGCAATGTCAAATATCCCATTCTGCAGGCCCAGCCCTGCGGTGTAGACCTCACATTGAAGCGCGTTCTCAAATGGACCTCGCCCGGATTAATTGACTTGGATAACAAACTTCGCCAGCCGGCCTCGACCGAAGAGATACCATTTTCCCCATCAAAGGAAAACACAACCCCATACTTAGATCTCGCGCAGGGCTCTTACCTTGTGGAATTTAACGAGACCGTCTCCGTTCCTCTGGATGTGATGGGCGAGGTGTTCGTGCGCAGCTCATTATTTAGGTCAGGGGTCACGATACATGCCGGTGTTATGGATAGTGGGTACGAGGGGGCTATCGGGGCATTAATGCAGGTCGTCAATCCCATGGGATTACGGTTGTACCCTGCTGCACGTCTGGCGCAGTTTGTGTTCCACCAAATGAGTGAGAAAGTCGAGGGTTACAATGGAGTTTATCAGGGGATGGGATCTTTGCAATAGTCAAAGTATTCATGGAATTGTGCTAGTTTATGTCTTCTAGTCTATCTTACCGAGTGAATTGCTTATCTGGCCCAGCGCAACCCACAGCTAGCAGTTAAATTACCCTTCAGAGAGAGGTGGACTGCAAGGTACGGAGTCAGGCGTAAAAATCCCCTTTTCGAGGGCCATCTTCCACACCGACAACCACCACTGCCTTTGCATGTGCGTCAAATGCGTAGGCATCACGGGACCGTCGCGGTTTGCAAAGCCGACCTGTTCCCGTAGTTGCACACTCGCTGCAAGACAGATTTCATGAACCCATGGCACATCTCCTTCCTCAATAGTCGCGATCTTGTGTAGTTTGGATTCGGATCTGGTGTTACGGTTGAGTCGAGCTACGCATTGCGTTCTCCCACTCTGATCGCTCTCCAAGAAATGTGTCCAGCTCATCCTCTCTACCCGCCCTCTCCAGAAGGGCATGTCGAGTTCAATGTAAAAGCTCCACTCCCACCGTCCATTCTCTGTGGTGGTGTAAACGTTTAAAGACATGGCGCATGCCTTTAGCCTTGTAGGATGGAAAGTGTGAGTTGGAGAAAAATGGGTAGGATGGATAGATTTTATGGCGTTATATAGCTTACTACCATGGAATAAATCGTAGTTGTCAGACAAGTGGCTGTGATATTGTGGTAAAAAAAATTGGCAAGACAATGAAAGGGTTTATATGTGAAAAGGCATTGTCTTGGGGCATACAATTCTGCTACAAGATTAGAAGACAAATGAAAGGGCACCTGAAAGAGATGAAACCTGTTTCTTAAATAAAGTACCTCCTAGAAAAGCGTCTTCGCTTCAATTGTATACCTCAAAGAATGATATCATTTCAATATTCCCGTACGTTGTATAATTAGCTTAATGTACTACATGTTGTGTTGCCCATGTATGTACTATTTTGAAGAACGGTCACATAAGACAGAAAACTGCAGGCAATAATAATTGATTTAAATTCTATCTAGATACCAAAGAAGTCCTAACTGTAGGCCTAATTTCAGATATGGTGTGTATGGAACTACTGCTTGTGTTAGTACGATATTATATCTCCGAAGGTCGTAAACCAAAGAAATTAACTAACCCATCAGAGAGGCTTAAATATCCCCTTCCTAACAGCCATCTCCTCAACATCCTTCAGCCACTCTGTACAGCGATAGAGCGGGGTATCAGGATACAGTTGGGCTCCCTTGAGCGTCACCTGGGCCCGAGGGGGAAGAACTGCTAGGCAGCATTCCTCCTGGAACCTCTCCAGATCTTCTTCCTCAATGGTCCCAATCTGCTTCTTTGAGTCTGGCACATGTTCTGGCAGCACCTCCGGGTTGGGCGTTTGCCTGGGTGTGTAATCCATGCCGTTCAGGATTGTACCGGTGACATGGTGCAGCCAGCCTCTGTCTTCGGTTGGATCGGTTTCGATGTAGATGGCAATGTGGTTTATCTGAGCACCGATCGATTCAGTAGTGAAGACTTTGAGAGCCATGTTTGCTGATATACGAGGTTGTGTTGCTTGGAATAGTTCTGGGTGCGAAAGCTGGGCTTTTAAGATCGAATGGATTGGGGTCTCACCATGCCATGCAGCGGCTGAACCAGGTATATTTTAGTCTTGCCTGAGGTCAAAGGCAACCACAACCACACTCCTATGATTATATTGACAAAGATCTTGCTAGACATGTTTCATGGCTCCTAAAAGCAATACAAATCAAATGGGGGAAATGTCGTCACTTTGAGCTGAAAGAATATAGTCCCGGCTAATCATTAAATGCCAACCCTTCTAGACTGGCAAATTTTGTGTAGGACTGCGATATAAGCGTGAACTCTTGGATATGACATGTTACCATGCTCCACAATTAAGTGAATGGAGCTATTTAACTATCAAAATATGCATGGTTGAATAAAATAAAGAGTGTGCAAAAGTCAGAACGCCTTCATGGCTTCCTGCCAGATATGCATATGATGCTGAAACAAATCTAGTTCAGGGCTCACATATGCCCAGTGTACAAAGAATAGATGACGCTATCGTGTCTGCCTAGCCAAATCTGATCAGGATTGGAAGTTCATGTTATAGCCACCTGTCTTCGGGTCCTGGACAAACTTGAAGTTCTCTGTCGACAGACCAAATGGACTCAGGATCCCATTACCAAGCTGTCCGAAATCAGTATTGCTCGATCATCTTGACATGAATATTAGCAGGAAAGAAGTACTCACATCCTTCAGCTTGCCCATCATATCACCCATCTCCTTCTCCCGCGCTTTATTAATGCGCTCGGGGAGTTCCCGCAACGCCCGCTGGACAACTCTTTTATCATCTGCCGGGAGGTTTTCAATTGCCGCAAGGGCCTGGTAGTCCTCTGCAGCACCCTGCAGACTACCCCAGCCACCGATCTGTGTCTTCGCCTTTGCGCGTCTCATAAGGACTTTGGCTCGAAGTCGCATCACCTTGCTCCTCTGCTCATCTTCCTCTTGCAACCGTTGTAACTCCTTCAACTCGGCTTCTTCGTCATCTCCAGATATTTCAACCACGGCATCTGTGTGTTTTTTGTCGGGTTCTGGTATTTGTTTCCCCTTCGATTCATCGCCCTTGTCCTGTGGGGTCGTTGGGATAATTTTATTCAGGCGTTCGATGGAGACGGTTGCGGAGTCTACTGCGGCCTTCCAATCTTCCAATTTCAGATGACAAGCAGCGATATTACTGTGGATTATGGCGACATCGTAGTCGAGGTAGATCGGACAGGAAGCAAGAGCTCGATCGTAGCAGGAGATGGCTTGGTCATAGCTTGTCGCGAGAAACAGCTGATTTGCCTCGGACTTGATTTCGTGTGCCTCCTTCAGGAGTTGCTATCGTAGGGGAGATTGAAGTTAATATGCGGCTCTGGTTATATGCTTGAACCCCGTTAAGACTCACGGCTTCTTCCTCGGCGGGGAAGTGGGCATCGTGGAAGACATCCTCATCACCACTGTCATCGACATCATCGGGAGTACCTTTCCCGTCGCGCTCGGGCGCATTAAAAGGTTTGCTCATTTTGTGAGCAGATCGTCGTCGGGCGAGAACATGAGATGTTGCCAAGGGCTCAATCACGGGATCCAGATAACGTTTATTCCCCGCGTCTTATCAAACCCTTGTCAACGTCCCACTCTAACAGTAAACAGACCATACAGCCATGACTTCCAATGAGTGAGTAGAACGTCGTGGATCATTGTCGCAATTAAACATCAATTGACTCGGTTGACAGCCTTCCCCGCATCCGAGCATGTCTCTTCGACATGGACGGCTTGTTGATTGACTCAGAGGATTTGTACACCATAGTCACGAATGAAATCCTCCAGAAGTACGGTAGACCCCTGCTCCCCTGGTCAGTCAAGGCGCAGCTGCAGGGTCGACCCCAGCCGGAGGTTCGTCTCACACTATATACCGTTATGTACCTGCGTACTTACTCTATATCTAGTCTGGCAAGATCTTCAATGACTTTGCCCAGCTTCCCATCAGCGAGGAGCAGCTGAATGAAGAGCGATCAGCTCTTCAGCTACACTACTTCCCAAAGTCACAGCCCCTCCCCGGTGTGCCGACTCTGTTGTCCAACCTTGTGTCGACGCGATCAACCGACGACCCCGTGTACATCGCGCTAGCAACATCATCCCACAGAGGCAACTACAAATTAAAGACCGATCATCTGACCGAGTTGTTCGCGGCGTTCCCCGAACCTAACAAGGTTCTCGGTGATGATCCGCGCATCGGTAAGGGTCGAGGCAAGCCTCTTCCTGATATCTACTTGCTTGCTCTGGAGACTATCAACAGCGAGCTGCGCAGCAAGGGGAAGACAGAGATCAAGCCGGAGGAGTGCCTGGTGTTTGAGGATGCGGTCCCGGGAGTCGAAGCTGGCCGTCGTGCCGGCATGCAGGTTGCCTGGTGCCCTCACCCCGGTCTCCTAGGAGCCTTCAAGGGCCGGGAGGAAGAGGTTCTCGCTGGAGCCACGGGTTCGCACAAGGAGGAAGAGAAGTCTGATGCTCAGAAAGAGGCAGAGGAGCTCCAGGCCTGGCGTGTGCAAGGATCCGGAACACCTGGAAAGATTGGTGATGGATTTGGTCAGCTCTATTCCACTCTGGAAGACTTCCCATATGCGAAGTACGGCATTCGCATTCCTTGATACCCCGATGTGGTTGTCCGAGGCAGTACATAGTATCGAGGTTGGTTTTTGGATGTCAATACACGTTGCATGAGACTGGGTAGAGCATATATCTAGAAAGTAATTTACATTCACACAGTGATTTAACGGCCTTTTGATTTCTGAATATCCAGAACGCTTCTCCAAGTTCGCGGGTTGGATGAAATACACATGGTCGTATCAATGAGTCAATTCTTGATGGGGCTTCTAAGACATTTCAGTTCTGGTTGTCAGGAGGTAAGTGTACTCAGTCTACGGCGACTCTCGCCATCGACTCTGACTCTGACAAAGCCTTCTTTTGATACGGCGACGAGAATCTTGGAGACAACCGCGATGGCACTTGCAGTGATCTTTCGTTTTAGTCATCTCTCTCGCGTTCCAGAGTGTATCACTGGGTTCTCCATTGGATGATTTGTTCGAATGGCGCTTGATCTCTGTCCTATGCCAAAGAAAGGGAAAATTAAAATATATTTTCCTTTCGCGCATCAAGCTGCGGGCTCTAAGTCATGGTTTGTCTCTGTTTCTGACAACAGAAATGGCATTGACCAGACCTTGAGGCTGTTATCCGCCTGCTTAGTATCCTTGGCCGGGATATCTTCGTCAGATGAATCATCTGAAACAAAACGTCGCTGCCCAGAGCAAGTTGCGACAACAGTTCCCATAGGGTGAAACATTGTATTCGTCACAGCATCTGTCATATATCAGCACTGACCATCTTGGGGATTTTCAAAAGACTTACCATCATGCACCTTGAACTCCCAGTCGGGGTTCTTCCCACCTGCACAGTGCTCTGGACTCCTCCAAACCCTCATAAACCCATCGGTACCTCCAGCCCAAATCTCATGAGAGCCATCAGGACCAGATGAAACAACGTCAATTTTCATGCGTTGATTCGTATGAGCCTTGCGCCCGCGCAAGTGCCCAAGCAGTTGCCCCGTAACCCGAACATCATAAACCAAGATGCCATCACTCTTGCGCTCGACGACATACAGATACCTACCACAAGGGCTCCAGACAAGCTGTGTAACTCCGCGACCCCCGATATCACGGTTTGCGCTAGTTTTTGCCACGCTGAAAGTCCCGAGGAGCTCACCCGAGCCATTTGAGCTGTACAGTCCAACATGTCTGGTGAAAGTGCCTGCAGCAAGGATACCATCCCCGCTGGGGTTCAAAGCCAGGGCTGAAACAATGCCCTTCATGCCGACACCACCGCCGACAATCTGCTTGCGTTTGCTGGGGATGGTTGGCATTGAAGATACTGGGCCTTGTGCTCCTGTTCGGGACACATCGAAGAGACAAATAAGGCTATCTGAGCCTGTGAGGAAGTGAGTCCCACCCAGCGTGGATGGATAGATTATCGAGTGTGGTGTTATGAATGCTTCTGTCATTGGATTTACCAGGGAATAGCTCGCCACTGATGCAGGAGCAAGGGCTGATGAGAGCCTAATTGGATGATCACGGACAGATGAGAGAAATAGGGTGGTGGATGGATCTTGAAGGTTGTAGAAGGGATATATTGCAGTAGCATAAGTCGGCTCCGCTGAGGGTAGAGTTGAGTATGGAGATATCTGGTGGATGGGCTTGTCCTCCAGTAGATCCGGTGGCCTGACTGTGTGAGTGAAAGAATCAATAGCAGGAACGACGCGCCAACTTACAAGATCCATGTTCTGATAGAATGGTCCTCTGAATCTGTCAGTAGAGTCGTTCCGTCTGGGGTCCTGTACACCATAAGGTCAGTAAATATTGATCATAGGTCGCTATGCTAGAGACTTGCCATTCTGCACTCTTGAAATAGCCGAGGTCGGTATCTTGATCAGTGGGTTCATCACTGGAGATTGCCGCAGATTGGCTTTGAACTGTTGATGATGAAGTCGACGATAGTCGCGATGGATTGATTGGGGACAAGTCTCTCCCACTGTGTCGTCTGGTTGATGCCACGCATACTGGCGTCCACTCTTTGACATTCTCGTCAGCCATAACGACAAATACCGCCAGGTAGACTGAACAGATATCTTTGCTGGAGATTTTAGATGCCGCCCATTTAATCAAGGGTACATTTGACTTCAAAGTTCTGAATAAGACCAGGTTCGAAAAGAGAATGAATAGGTCGAGTAGGACATTGGGTCAGAAATCCGCGAGCTACGCAAATATTTCGGCAGTCACAGGGATGGCATCTCCAATGAGGTTCACAATGCGATACAAATTATACTATGTAGTTTTTCCAAGCATCGAACAAAAGCCATACAAATGAAGTATAAAAATGAGTAGACGGCCTTTGCTGAGGAAATATCGGGCCGGATAAATAAAGTACCGAGAAGCTTCGCGCATTCCGGAAATCGCATTTGCGCAGCTTTGTTCCTATTGAGGGGGGCCCATTAATAGGTTCCATTTTCATTCAAGCATTTGAAGCCTATTGTCATATTCTCAAATATGTTTGCTCCCAAGGCAGCAGCGCCTGCCGCAGGTGGACTTTCTCTCAACACAAACTCCACCAATTCTTTGTTGTTAGTGCTCCCTCTCATCTTTGTCTCTGATTACACCTATCAGACCTATCGCATAATCCCTTGCTCTGATTCGCTTCGTTTTCTCTCCCAATCCCTCGTTATTCGCGGCTCGCAGGCTGCGATCACGTTGACCCCACGCAGAAAGAAAAAAAAAAGCTAACCGCAACCTCTCATCAACAGCGGTGGCAACACAGCAACCTCCGCAGCTACTCCCGGTGCAACTAATACTAGCAGCCTCTTCGGAAACGCTGCGAGCTCGACAGCACCTAAACCAGCAGGAGGATTGTTCGGCGCCCCGGCCGCAGGAACCACACAAACACAACCGACTGGATCCAACATGTTTGGAGGTCAGCAGCAGAGCGGTACGACCGGCAGCAACCTGTTCGGAGGCGCAACTACCACGACACAGAGCTCTGGGACGAGCAATATGTTCGGTGGGTCGACTGCTGGCGCTGGCACCAGCACGACTCAAGGAACAACGGGCGGTCTTTTCGGCGGCGGTACATCTACAGCTCAAGCTCAGGCAAAACCAGCCTTTGCTGGACTCGGTGGACTCGGTGGTGGACTTGGTGGAGGGTCAACAGGAGGAGCTACGGGAAGCATGTTGTAAGTGGCCGCATTTTTGCCCGTCTCGTCTCAAGGCTTATATTCTAATAATTCACAGTGGTGGCGGCCAGACAGCCCAACAGCAACAACCTCCAAAGCCTACCCTTTCTCTCTTCGGCCAGCCAGCGCCCGCACAAACTACACAACCACTACAACAGAGCACCGCTACCAGCACGGTGATTCCGGGTGTGAAAGTTGACGTCAGCAATCTCCTGCCAACCACCAAGTTTGAGAGCTGCGCGGATGAGATCCGTAGCCAAATCGAGGCTATTGATAAGCACATCCTGAACCAGATGAAGATGTGCCATGAGGTCGGAGACTTGCTCCCAACCATCGAGCAACAGGGTGCCACAATCCCTAACGATGTCGAATTTGTACAAGGCAAACTGGAAACCATGCAACACGCGCTTGAGAACGATGCCAGTGACATTGATGGGCTGCGCGGCCTTGTTACACGGGATGCGGCCGAGGCTCAAGTTGCCTTCCGAGCCATTGATACGCTGAAGCTCCCTTTACAATACCAGTCATCTGGCGGTGGTTGGTGGTCTGTGCAGGATCAACAGATTCCAGAGCGATCTATGCGCTCAAGTCGCAAAAACACACTTGCTCTTCCCGACGGCGTGGAGGGTGACGCATCAACTGACGTCAACGGAGTCCCCGTCAACCTGGTCGATTACTTCTCTCATCGCTCGAAGGAGATGAAAGGAGTCCTTACAAGATATACTGGCAACCTCAAAGAGATCGAGGACCATCTTCACGGCGTGGAGGCTACGCTCAACCGTCAAATCAGTGACTTTGTGAGCTCCAAGTCTCGGGAGGGAGCAGCGGGAACACCCCGGTCTACCATCAGCGAACTCTCCGGTGTTCTCTCAGACGTCGAGGCTGGCATTATGGGTGTCGCCACTCGTTTGAGCAATGTATCGGAACAAGTACAAGATCTGTCGATTGGGCAGCAGTCCCTTGGCGATGGTCGGCTTCATCTGGGATAGATACGAGAATTTAGCGAGTTTGGTCTGTATTATTATGGGAGCTGATCCTCAGCATGCGAAACATGACATCCAACAGTTTATTTGTTAACTCCGAACTCTCATTAGTCTGACCCTTGTACTCCGTAGACTTAACCTATATATAAACCGTAGGACGATAGTATAAGCATGGTGGGCGTGGATCATCCCAAAAGTCTAATTATTTCAGCCAATCGAATGTATTCAACTATTCTATTCTATACTACATATGTAGTACCTATATTGTATAGAAATGATCCATACTCCGTAGTACTACCTAGGTACGTTGCATCGGACTGGTGAGGCTGAGTAACCCGTCGCAAAAGTCCGCCACTCTTGCGTGATCGCCTCCTTAGCGCCATTTCTAATCTCAACCTCCACTCTTCTGCACGTACATCAATACCTCCATCCCTAGTGAACACGCGTTCAAATACCTTGATTTGAAGATTTCTCACCTGAAACAGCGGTGAGACGAGGTAGTATATCGATAGAATCGATTTTCATGTTCATTCGATGAAGATTGCAAATCTCGCCATCAACGTCAGCGAAATTGCGTGATCGGCCTGAATATTCTGGGGAGAGGAAGCGGGTCTCATTCTCAATGTCTATCGACCAATTATCTTGTCTCCATCGCTCCATTGTTTTTGCCTGAGGTGATTCATTTGAGAAATTGCGCCATCTCCGTGAACTCCGGGGCATGCGAGATCCGTAATCCAGAATGGCGTTATCCGGGGTTTGACTCACTTCCAAGGTTGTGTCTAAAACTGTTTGACTGTATATAAATTGGGTTCTTCCCTCTTTATCCAAACTTACTTTATACTTTAATATACTCTCGCATCATCCTTGCACATTTATATCTGCATTCCCTTTACATACAGCAATTGGATTGGAAATGGCACCATCATTAGAAGAGTCCGTGGTGACTGTGGCTCCAACTGTGGCCAAGTTCACCGTTCCTGTCACCGTGGAGGACCTCGCTGGAGACAACAAATTTGGCTATCAGCCCGGCCGGACACCAGTCACTCGACACGACAACTATGCACACGAAGATTTTTTGCCCTCATTTCCGGACATCCATTGGCCTCCGCTTGAATACACTCCCTACGAGGACAAGGGACTGCGAGGAGATCCCAAGTTCCGCAACCTTCTGAGGGATGCCACAGCTGTCTTTGATCACAACCCGAAGATTGGAACTGAAATTCATGGTGTTGATCTTTCAAAGCTCGACGATGCACAGCGGGATGACCTTGCCAGATTGATTGCATATCGAGGTGTTGTCTTCTTCCGCTCCCAGAAAAACTTCGATATCGACGCTCAACGCCAATTGGGCCAATATTGGGGCAAACTGCACAAGGTAAGACATCTGACTTGAGTTGATTTATATGAGTATACATACTAACTATATATAGCACGCCACTACATCAGTTCCCCGAAAGCCGGGTCTCGAAGACGTCCATGTCGTCTACACTGGCGACAACTCCGGCGACAATCGTGCCCTCTTCACGCCCAGTTTTTTATGGCACTCAGACGTAACTTACGAAATCCAACCACCATCCTACACATCACTCAAGCTTCTCTCTGGTCCACCCCGAGGAGGCGGTGGCGACACCCTTTGGTCCTCACAATATGCTGCCTACGACGTGCTCTCTTCACATATGCAAAACTACCTTAAAGGCCTCACAGCCCTCCACTCAGCCGACATGCAAGCCAACGACTCCCGGGCACTAGGCCGGCCAGTGCGTCGGGACCCCGTCACTACCGAACACCCACTCATTCGGACGAACCCAGTCACAGGGTGGAACGGACTTTTCTTCAACCCAGGCTTTGTGAAGAAGATCATCGGTATCCCGGCCGCAGAAAGCGACGCTATCATCCGGTTCCTCACTGATGTAATCGCCACAACCCAGGAGATGCATGCCCGCTTCTCATGGAATGAAGACGATGTCGCACTCTGGGATAACAGATCCACCAACCACAGTGCTTCTTATGGCTTTACGCCACACCGCCGCCATGCTGTGCGTGTTGCGGTCCATGCCGAGAAACCTGTGCATGAAGAGTCTGGGAAATCTCAGGAGGACGAACTCAATGCTTTGTATGGACTGCCGGCAGTCAACAAGGATGGGTCTCGCCAGTCGAACTATAACGACTAGGCTGGCTGCGAAAGGTTCATGGAGTTGATCCTTTCATTCTAATTAGCGACATATTAAAATCAGCGAAATATTATCATTCATCTTTATCATTACATGTGTCTGTTTGGACAAGTATCTCTCCAGAAGCTCTCCAGATGTGTTTACTCTATATCTCGTGCCTGCCTAATTGGGACTTCCCCCTCGTACCTTCCCAATTCACGCCCATCCCCCCAACTGCCATAACTTCTGTTTTCTCTTTTCTCTTTTCTCTTTTCGTATAAACAACTCTCTCATCGCCTCTCTCTCTCCTTTGCCGCAAAATGGCTTCCAACCCACCAACACTACTTGATTACGCCAGGTTCTATAATATCGCAGAGGAGTCAAATCGATACTGTCCAATCAATTATGTGGACGACACATGTGAGCCAACAATCCCCACTCCCCCTGTTGAGGGTCTCAACCCCGAAAACCCGGAAGATCGTCTCAAAGAAATCGACCGACGCTTCTGCACCGACATCATGATGGAGAGGCTCGCAACTAAGCCTGAGGATATGAAGCTCCTGAGTGGATGTCTCCAGCTTCAGCCCTTCAACGGAAATATCTGGCGTGGTATCCTGCCTGAAGTGACAACATCTGAGCTTAAAAGCGAGCCTCTTCTCACAACAACCCAGGATGAGAGAATGTTCGCTTCGTCCGAGTTTGATACCAACTTCGTGCAGAGTCCGACTCCATCTTCGCCTAGCCTTTCGGTTCATCTTGTTGTTCCTAGTGGTCCTAATATTGCTGCTGTCCCTACTAACACGCGCGATGTCTTCGATCTCTACAACTCGGCGGTGGCCTCCCAGTCAAACGCCCTTGAATGTTTTACTACACCTGCCAATGTGACTGCCGAGTCCTCCAACATTACTATGACATCCCATCTTGCAGGAGATGCCTTGCCTGCCATCGTGGGACCCTCAGGGACTGTGCATCAATTTGTCAGTATTGAGTCTGACCCTGTTCCCTCTATCACAGGTCAGGGGAGTGAGTATTACGCCACAAGTGCAGTCAGCTCTGAGGTGAGTACTCAACGGATGGTTGATTCGATGAGTAGCTAATCAAGACAAGCACCCTACCGAAAGTGAATTCGGTCCATTTGTTTTTGATAACACCGCGTCCCCACCATTGTCCGATGTCAGTCCATACAACAAATTACACCCCACCTTCTCTATTGTTTCCCCAACTCTGACCAAAGAAAAAGGGTTCTCCGTTAGCGGAGTTGACAGCCAGAAAGCGCAAGCACCCAGAGATTTGAAGGGGGAGAAAGGAACGAAGGCTCGCTTGGGGCCTGTGGCGGATACAGGCATGCCTTGTGAACAGAAGATTACTGTGCCCGCTTCTCTTGGTACGATCCGTGAAGATACTCAGCTAGCACGAGCTTCGCAGAATGCAAACGATAACCATGTTTCCTTCCAAACTTCTTACAAGCGCAACTCCAATGTTATGGCAAACCATGCTTCGTATGTGGACAAGAGACAGTCTTGCGCCGCTCAAGAGGAGCAGTTTCGCATGAAACTGGGCTACAAGTCAAATTTCACAGGAGGGAGAAAGAACCCCTTCCAGGCTCCACATGATGTTTCTTCCATTGATTATACAACGACAACGAAATCATCCCAAGCAGTGCTTGGTGGCCTGGGATCTTTGCCCTTGTTTATGCAAACCAGAGGCAGTGATGGAGGATATGTTACCTCATCGCATGATCCATCTTTCCTGTCAGAATCCACAAGTGGACAAGGCGAGTTCAATGTCCCTTTACCGGGTGGCAGTCCCCCAGACAAAGATGAGGATTCATCGGGACGTCAGGATCCGAGGAATCCTCTCCGCTTGCTCGACGGCCCTGCCGTCTTCATGCAGGATAAGGTGACCCAATCGGCGTTCAACCCGCCACCGATGTTCTTCTTGTCTACCGCCCTCCTAAGAACCCACCTGTCAGTTGTACGAGATATGGAGAGATGGCCAGATAATCCACCCAAATTGATTTACAGGGAGTATGGGGACGCTTTCTGTGATGCAGAAGTCATTCTGGCACCTAATACAGGGCTTATCCTGACGACTCCTCATGAGCTTACCCAGCGCTATCTTCCAGGGCATGGGCCAAGGGATGAAAGGCTCAATGGAATCCAGGGACTTAACTCTCCACTCAGGGAAAAGATTTTCCGCCTCATGCATCGCTATGCGTTTCTAGTCATTCTCATCTGCGGAGCTGACGATGCAGTCGTCAGCAGCGCTGCATTTTCCTTCTGGATGAGGGACATCGGGTCGCTTGATAGATTTTGTGACAGCCACAAGGAATCATCAGAGACTTTACTGGTACCGATCCCAAACCACTCGGCATCCATTGTATTGTGGTGTTTCGGTATGGGAAGGCTTCGATATGAATTTTTTCCTTCTGAATACATGAAAAACGTCACCGAAGGAGAGTCAGAGTATGAAGTCGCTCTCCGAGACCTGGGGATTAATCCTTTCGCGGCGCGCCTCATCTTAGATAACATTCGTGTTGGTGGTTTCAACCAATTCTCTGGCTTCGACCGATATCCACGCCCCCTGCCTTCTTCTCACGAGACAGTTGCAGACACGAGGACAGATTCAAGGGCTTTCGATGTATTTATAAGCCTGACTCCCTCGGAGCGGGATATGGGATACGGGTTTGTAGGCGACGTAGTGATGAACAGGGTGTCGGAAGGGATCGAATCAATGGCACATATGAGCTCCGACGAGAATGAGACTGGCGGCGAGGATATTTACAGCACTCCGATCAGCCTTCACTAGTTGTCTAGGGATATGAGCTTCCATCATTATGGGTAAACCTGTATTTGATAATCAGATCCAAATTTAGCAGTCTCTTTGGTCATCTTTTCAGTGGTCTTTTCAGTAATCTTGGGTATTTTTTAGACCATACTAACGGCACCCACTAAAGAAGTTGGAATATATAAAGGAATAGAGAGGAGATGATCAAGTTTGCAATTACCGACTACCCACCCTAGAATAAGTACTAGGAGAAGGTAAGTCGCAGTTTAATTTAAAAGTACAGTGGACAAAGACATGCAAGACCCAAGGCCAATCCAGCGCTTCAAAAACTCATGCATGCAAAATAGAAAGACAGGCCAAAATAGGAGCCACAACTGACATGATACCTAAACAATCAAATGCCAAATATCATCCAGTTAACAGCATCCCGATTCGCTATTGTTTTTTTGTTTTTTTGTTCTTTTTTTCTTGGTCAGTGTTCTTGAGATCGTTGAGAAAGGTCGAAGCTCGTGACGTCGCGTCGGTATGATACACGTCAGGGGTCTTCCGAAATCCCCGTCGCGATTTTACAGCGAAACGGGGGTTGGTGTCGACATGACAGAGAGGGGTTGGATGGCGGCGAAACAAAATCGTATAAGAATATTGTTTTGGAGACTAATTTACTCCTTGATCTTGGCCAGGATACTAGTTGGGGTGTTAGTATTGTTCTCAAAGCCGAAAGGGGGAAGGAAACATACTCGTGATCACGGAAGAGGGTGTACTCCTCCTCGCCGACCTTGATGGCGTTACCACCGAACTGAAGGATGCGTTAGCATATATTATCATTGCATTGGCATCCACCGAATGTGAAAATACGAGGGGAATTGCTGAACCACATACCTGGGGGATGAGGACCTTGTCACCGGCGTTGACACCCATGGGGAGACGCTTGCCGTCACGGTCAAGGAGACCGGGTCCAACAGCGAGGACCTGGGCCTCGTTCTGCTCCTTAACGGCAGCCTCGGGGAGGAAGATACCGGAGGCAGTCTTGGCCTCGGGCTTGATGCGCTGGACCAGGACGCGGTCCAGGAGGGGAGCGAGGGACTTGATGTTGCGGAGGACAGACTAGAAAGGGATTGAGTTAGTTTTATGTTCTTAATTGACGCAATAATATTGAATTGGGAATCGCGCGCGTTGCGCGGGTTTTCGGGTATCCGGGATCGGCTTGAGGGAAGAAAAAGTTGGACGTGGAGGTGCTGGTAGCTCTCCGGGAGTTGGAGAAATAGGGAATTTCGGGCTGTGGAATCAATCAGGATATACCACGTACCATTGTGAAGGTGAAGGTGATTCCTGAGGAGATCGTGAAGTTGAGGATGGGATGGAGAAAGGAAGAAGATGGAACTGGTCCGGGGGAAGAAGATCTGGACTGGAGAAATTTCCAGAATGCCAAGACCGAACCATGAGCTTCTTCCGAACAGCCTTTCCCAATGGACTCGACTCTATAAATTACTGGGACTGTGGGAATATAATATTTTATCCGCTTATTTTTACATATTCACTGTTGTTTCTATTTATTGAAATCCTTGGTATAGCCGTCTAGACGTATGTTGTAGTCCTTCCCCGACCTACAGCTTTACTTCTGCATGAAAGAAGCTTGAACTTGTAAATTGTCCATTGTCATTGTCATTCCCTTTGTATGCATGAAACGCCATGAGATCCCATTATTCCAAGGGCAAACCCGAAGCTACCATCACAGTAATATGAATCCCATATCAAACTACCATCTTCGGCCCCGGCCTCGACCCCCGTAACCCCCTCCACGTTGATCGTATCCACCGTAGCCCATTTGACCCTGACCACCTTGGTTAAATCCTTGACCCTGGGGCTGGCCCCCAAAGCCAGGTTGATTCTGCTGACCGCCAGGGGGCATCATCCCCTGAGCGTGTTGCATGAAAGCCATAGGATCCATATTAGACGGGTCCAACCCCTGGGACATCATGCTGGCCAGCATGCCCTGCATCATATCGGGGTTCATATCCGGCATGCCGGGCATGCCGGCCATGGGCGGCGCAGCACTAGCTGGAGCAGCGGGGCCCGGTGCACCAGGCATCGGGGGCATTCCCATCCCCATGAAGGCCTGCATATCGTCCATCTGTCTCTTCTGGCTACCAACTTCCTGTCTCAAGCCTTGTTGCTTGAGACAGTATCCTGCCCATGTGAACTCATCGAATCCATAGTTGAAGTAGTCAGAGAGATCTGACCCGGGTCGGCGCCAGGGCTTGTCGTCGGATGGGAAGTCGGCATCCATGTCGGTGGACATGATCGGCTTCCCTGTCATAGGGTGGACGGGGTTTGCATTGACATCGATGGTGGAGCTGTGAATGGCTGGGTAGGCGGAGCCTGGCTTTTCTGAGGAGGGTCTTGCGGCTGCGGCTGGATGTCCAGGAATTGGAGTCGCGGTTTCATATCGAGGGGTCGCGGATGGTGTCGCAGACCTTGCTAGCCCGGACGAATCTGCAGAGGACGGCCGTTGTGGTTCTTGTCGTAAGCTTGCATGGCGCGGGTGAGAGCTAGAAAGATCAGTACGAGTGCAGGGAGCGCGATGGCAGCTAACTCACGCTTCGGGAGCTGGTGCGCCTTCCGGTGCTTCTGTGATAATATTGAAGTCATCCTGCAGATAAAATTAGTAAGGATAAATTGCAGGTAGGTGCAAGAACGGTGTGTACATCATCTTCTTCTTCCTCTTCTACCTCATCGTCGTCTTCCATGTAATTGCTGTCCTGCGGTTGGCCTGGAGCTGCATTTTGGGTGTGGTTCTGCGATTGTGTTGTCGGCACCGCGTCGACGGGATCATAGAAGTCGTCTTCTTCTTCGTCCATGATTTCTGAATTTCAATTCGACGGGTAAATGCTGCAGAAAGTTGTATCAAAGAGGATCGAGATCGAAGGTTGCGCGCATGGGAACCGAGTTTGTCTTGTTTGCAGCGGTGTGCCTTTGCACGATTTCAGAGTTGAAACTTGCGAAAGAGATAGTTGGAATTGAGACACTAAATCAGCTATGTAGATAGTTAATTGCAAAGATATTCTTCTACCTCTCAAGTACACGCTTTTTATAATCTGCTGATCTTGTAGAATATACTTAGAACGATGCTTAGTAGAATTCAAGGTCACGTGCTGATCACAAGACGTCACTGTCTTCTCTCATGTCAATAGTCAAATCTAAGCTTAATATCTCGCAATCAAAAATGGCAGAAGAAGAGGAGAGTAACACATCCACTCCGCGGTCCTTCGCCGGCCAAAGCGTCTCCGCGGAGGAGATGCTGAAAGAACAAACTGTCGGTCTTGTTCATCTATCCGACTTTCGCAAGCGGCGCGCGGAAGTTCTAGAGCAAAAGGAGCGCGAGGCGCATGACAAGTCTCTGGGGCTACTAGCATCTGGTAATTCAAGAAGTGCAACTCCCTCTGCAGGCGATGTAACTGACGGGTGAGTCAAGAGCCTCGACTTTTATTTCCGTTTATTTGAGCTGATCGCAGCGCAACAGATCAACGCCTCCCCGGAGTGACGGTCCCGCGAGAAAGAAGAAAAAGAAGGCTCTTGCGAAAAGCAAGCTCTCATTCGGCGACGACCAGGACGAAACGGGGGAGGACTCCGCAGCAACCACACGCGACTCGAGCGCATCACGGTCAGGTTCGAAAGCACCCGCCGAGGATAGCGCGACGCGACGCATGAAAGCAAATCCAAATGCACCTCCTCCACCCAAAGCTTTGACAAAGGCATCCTTGGAAGCTGAAGCGCTGGCTCGCGACACTCTCCGCAAGGAGTTCTTGGTCATGCAGGAGGCTGTGAAGAACACTGATATTCTCATTCCATTTGTCTTCTACGATGGAACGAGCATACCAGCTGGATCCGTCAAAGTCAAGAAGGGTGACCATGTTTGGTTGTTCTTAGATCGGTGCCGGAAGGTTGGTGCTGAGATGGGCGTACGTGGTGCCAGCGGTGCATCCAAAGCGAAGAAGGATAATCGCCGAGAGTGGGCACGAGTCAGTGTCGACGACTTGATGCTTGTCAAGGGCGATATCATTGTTCCACATGTAAGTTCACCCGGAGTTTCGTTGGTCGAATACGAATCTCTCATCTAATTTTCACACAGCATTACGAGTTTTACTACTTCATCGCCAATCGAGTGCCCAGTCTTTCTCGGGCTGGCGGTTTGTTGTTTGATTATTCCAACAAACCCCCCGTTGCCGATGACAACGATAATCCGTTGTCCCAACCTAGCGACGATCAACTAGAGGGCGCAGACAAGGATTTCTCAGAAACCAAGGTCGTAGATCGACGGTGGTATGAGAAAAACAAGCACATTTACCCAGCCAGTCTATGGCATGAATATGAGCCTGGGAAAGAGTTTGAAGAGAAGATGACTTCAACACGCCGCGATGCTCAGGGAAATACATTCTTTTTCTAGCTCGCTGAAAATATGAAAATAATGACTGTAATAGACAAATACCAAACATTTTCTGTCCAAGTTGTTGTTTCATTACAAGATTTCCTTCTGAGGTTGACTAGACTAATATCTCCCAAGGCTAACCCGTGACCTTCACTTCTTGCTCTTTCCAACCGCATCCCATCTCCAGCAACATCATGGACTTTTCCCTAAGATGCAATTCTCTGAAGTGTCGGGCAGAATTGAAAGAGAAAGCAGTGGTGACAACCTGCTCGTAAGTTGCTCCATCGTGGATCAGCTCAAGCCAGAGGCTGATGTTTCCAGACACATCTTCTGTCATGCATGCGCAGAAAGCCTGGGGCTCTCTCGTCCAACCACCAGCAATCGGCACTGTCCTGCGTGTCAGACCGTACTTCTCAATCCTGATGACGCTGTCTCGACCATCTTGAATCCGACAGAGGACTACAAAACAAGCGTGTTGAGTGGGTTAGATCCGAACACAATCATGGAATGTGCTGGTCGCGCACTTGCATTTTGGGCATATCAAAGCACACAGGAGATGTCTGTCTCACTTCCCCGGTATCAAATGGCACCATGGGATTGTTCAAAACTGACTTTAGCAGATTCTACCAGGAGTACCGAGCGAAGACGCTTACGGAGAAATACGCCAACCTGAACACGCAGATGGATAAGGTCATCCACAATGCCAATACAGAGATCTTGTCACTGCAAAACAAGCTGTCCGGTTGGTCCACTTGAGTCTACACTTACTCGGAGATCGGACTAACATCTGTACTGCAGACATGCAATCAACTCAAGAAGACCTTCAAAAGAAAAATCAGGAATTGAATGATATGTACCGCGATAAGAACAACAAACTCGCTCAAATGACCAATCTCTACAACCTCCTCAAAGCTCGTGCCATGCGGTCCCGGATGCAGACCGCAGCCTCAGACACAGTCTCCCAAGCTCTCTCATCGCTCAATGCCCCTCCTCCTGTTTCCGTTGCTCGATCTGATGTCTCAACGCTACCTTCTACCTCCATTACACGGCATCCCAAGACACCCACTTTTCCCGTCAACCCAGATGGAGTTGAGCAGCTTCATCGGTACCAACGAAGCGGCACTGGTAGTTCCAAGATGGCAAAGACAAAGACATCTCGCGAAGCCCCAATGCCGCCCCCTGCTCGGCCAAACTGGGATGGGCAAAATAGTATGTATTGAACCACAGTCTCCAAGGCATGCTGGCTAATGTGCTTCTAACTAGGCAGAGGTCCAGATTCCACTCTACAACATCGTACTCGACTCCCACGTATTTCTCGGACTTCGACTGTCTCCTCTGAGTTTCCTCCTGGTGATGCTATTATACAGCGGTTTGGAAGTTAATCGTTTACCTATTGGGCACGTTTACCTATTGGGCACGTTTACCTATTGGGCAGGGTATCTGTATGGATATGGAGCGGTCATTTCTATCGATCTTTCGACCAGAACGTTGTATGTAGGGCAGATGCTCCACAGCAGAGCCGCACTCCCGCAATCAAGTCTGATTTATTTTGATCTCCATTTCTATCCCCTTAGATATTTCAAGTGTATGCGTAGTATTGCTGCACTACAAGACACTGCACAGTGTGTTTTATTATATATATTATATCCGGTCTCCAAACAAAACCTCCCAGAAGTTTGAGATCACTAACTCACCATGGCCAACAACGCGCCTCAAGTGGCTGAAATGGAGGTTCGTGAGTCACCTGCTGCAGTTGACAAGAAAGCAGTGGCTCTAGCGGCCCAAATCAAGAAGAGCAAGCACTTCATAGTTTTTACAGGTGCTGGGGTTTCGACCTCTGCGGGTGAGTGGCAGCCTAGAACTTCCACGGCATTTTATAACACCGAAATGCAGGAATCCCCGACTTCCGCGGTCCAGAGGGCAATTGGACTCTCAGGGCCCAAGGCAAGAAGCAGACCAAGGTCGCCAACACGCTGCAAGCTATCCCTACGCCGTCTCATATGGCGCTTGTGGAGCTGCAAAACCGGGGTATCTTGAAGCACCTGATCAGTCAGAATTGCGACGGGCTTCATAGAAGAAGTGGCATCCTGCCTGTAAGTTCCTACTCTGGCCAGTGGTGGTTCTCAGCTGACTTTATGAAGGAAATGATCTCCGAACTACACGGGAACAGCAATCGTGAGTACTGCAAAGATTGCAACAAAGAATACATGAGAGGTAAGCCAAACTGAAGAATTACCTTCTCTATTTCCTTATTAATATTTAGTAGACTTCCGCGCCGTCTCGACATACGAGAAGGGTGACCACGATCACCGCACAGGCCGCAAATGTGCCCGCTGCGGGGGAATCTTACTAGACAGCATCGTCAACTTTGACGAAAAACTCCCCGTGCGAGACTTAGACCTCGGCAGGGAAAATGCCCGAAACGCCGATTTTTGTCTTGTCCTAGGTTCCTCGCTGACCGTCACTCCAGCCAACGGGATCCCTGAGATTGTCGGCGAGAAAAAAGGGGCGAAGCTCGCTATATGCAATCTCCAGAAAACACCCATCGATGGACTCTGCGATTTTCGCATATTTGCCGAGGCAGATACACTGATGGTTACGGTCATGGAGAAGCTTGGCCTACCGATCCCACCATTTATCCTTCGGCGGCGTCTTGTGGTCAATGTGGAAATACAGAAAGAGGATCGATACCGGGTTACGGTTACCGGCGTTGACAGTGATGGGACTCCGGTTACATTTCTTCAGTCTGTCAGGCTGGAAGGGAGCAGACGTGTGGCGCGCACAGAACCGTATGTGATTCTTATGCGCGAATCGCTTCGACCTGGTGCGCAGGTGAAGCTCGAGCTTGAGTTTATGGGGCATTACAATGAGCCGAACTTGGAGCTTGTTCATCATTATGATGGCAATGAGGATGGATTGTATATTCTTGAGTATAACCCACAAAATGGAGTGTGGGTTATTACGAGACAGGAAAGTCTCGCTGATGTCGCGGACTCTGGTCCGGGGGCTCAATCCTCACAGTTCGGACGGCGTCAGTTGATCTCCTAATGAGGGAATATAGGGTGTTCATATATTTTATTGGGTGGTAACCTAGTGCAAATCAGTCTGATATACTTGAAATTCCGAAATATCACCGTGGTCTCTACATACAACATCTCAATTCTTTTCGGACTTGGAAGGAGATAGAGGTTCAGCCTGAGAAACTTCGACAAATTCAACGTTTCCTTCAAATCTCTGTCTCGAATACAAACTTCAACACAAGACCACCGCCAATAACTATGCTTTGCAACACAGGAAGGCCAACGAGCCCAGCAACACTGAAAGGAACCAAAATCATCTGTTCCTCCGGCTTCACTATCGCCGACTTAAAAAACCAAGGAGACGTAACCCCCAGCCATGTGATGACCCAGCAAAAGCCAAGGGCCCTTTGCCACCGCGCCGGCGAGCTATTGTTCTGGGACTCCCACGTTCGTTTCCAGAGAGCTATGACACCGTCTTCAATTATGTAGCCAACAACGAACGAGAGGAAAAAGGACATAGTTCCAAGGTCCTTTATTGAAACGTTTCGCAGACTATCGATTACTACGTGGACCAAGCCAGAGAAGAAGAAAACGATGAAAACGTTGGCGTATCGTTCCACGAACGACGATCTAGGCAGACCGAGGACATCACGCGCGAGAAAGTTGCTAGTCGACGTGAGGGGCAGTCGTAACATTTGATGCCAGAATTTTCTATAAGAGCCATGGAAATTAGATATAATCAACCCAATGGACATAAGAGCGACTCACCCCCAGAAATTCCGTAATGTATATATCTCTGCCATTCTCCCAATCATCGGGGGGCTGTTCAAGGGGGAATCACCCAGGCTCACACAGATGATCGAAGCGACGCGGTAGTAGAAGCCGATCAACACTCGAGACACAACGAACCAAGCCACGAGAGTCTGAATAAACTGCTCTGTCCACCTTTGCCCGGTGTTAGTCAATTGGGGATCAGAAGAAATTGACTGTTCTTCGTCTTGGTTATTCATGGCTTGTCTCAAGGCCAATGCAGTAACTGTATCTAGAACCAGAAACTGCCAGACAGCAATAGTAGCTTCTCTGATCAAAAAGCGACCTCGCGGGATCACCTTCGGATCTCTCTTGGTGTAATATTCTGGGAATGGCGGGACATTCTTCACTTGTCGAGGTGTGTTGATCGCCCGTGTGCATGTGAGTAGTTGAAATGCCTGGAATAGACGGGATAAAATGCCTTGGGTGTTTCCGTTGGCGTCGACAATGTCGTGCCCGGCTTGAGGGTGGATCAGCAGCAAGTCCATCGCTGTCAAGATAAAGGTTGCAGAGTTTCCGATGAGATTGGTGGATGAGTACCCCGGTTTCTGAGTAGGGTACATCATATGGAGTACAATCCATATCATACATGGTATAGACAGATAACGTAGGAAGGACTGTTTAGGTGTTGTGATTAGGACAACGGAGGGGATGAGAGACTGGAGAATGGTTAGAGCGAGCAACCGCCCGTGTGATTGATACTGATCCATGGCCGTTGGAGAAAATAAAGCGGAGGGATTTTGGTCGGGTTTCATTTGTTTGAAATAGTATGGATGAATTGGACTTTTACAAAGAAGATATGGAAGTACACAGTGAATTTTTTTATGTCTAAAACTCTTTATAGTTAAAGTGAAACCCTACTCCACTTCCCCTATAATCCCTCAAGTGCATTTGTAAAAGGCATGATTTGGGGGGGGGGTATAATTAGGGGGATATGCATATTATCTGATTGAGGTTCACACAGTGTCCCCTAATCCCTTGATAATTAGAATATCAGTGCCATCTCTAGTATTGATCACATATTGTTAATTTTCCTAAGGAATTCTAGCCCTTCTAACACCTACAAAATCATATAAATATCTGTAGACTAACTACATTTAGAAATTGACCTTGATGCTAAGCCAAATCGATCTATACATATACGCCCATCAAACCTTTGTTCAACCCTGAAACTTACTTGGAAGCTTTTTGGTGTAGGCATTTACCGATTCCTGGAGACGGAGTTAATATGTGACCGATCTTATTCTTCTTGTTGCCTTTTATGTTACAATTCGATTAGGTAGAGAATCGAGATGTAGATGGAATACAGCTTGACGGTTTTTATAGAGTTGACCTATATTTGAAAGATGCGTGTCTTCGAGGTGAGAATCTAAGCCATCACTCGGTTGGACTCGTGCATAAAGTGTCGTATTCTGCGTCGATCCATTCGTGTACATATATATCGCATTTACCAGGCAAACCTCCATTGGTTCTCGCATCATAAATACCCCCAAGATCAGGAAAAGTCTGTTAAAAAAATTCGTCACGGAGTACTAGTAAGCGAGCATTCTGCAGTTGTTATAAAGCGTTAGATAGATATATGGATTCGAGCAAGATATACTTAGTTACAAGTCAAAGCGCCCTTACCTACGATATATGTGTCTAGGATCCTCTTAGTATGTATGGAGTAGCAAGTATAGATCTAATGCTGGCTAATCCTTTTCAGTCCAATTGGTTGGTTATTCCTTTCTTCAACCATAAACCACATGTAAGCTCGCATAGCTCTGGTAATTTTACTTAGGACCTGGCTTCTTTATCATGTGGCTCAGACACACATCGCCTGTCAATATAAAAAGCAATTCCAGTAAGTGAAAAAGAGCATGTTTACAACAGAGACATCTGCCTCCATCAGGCATATCATGGAGCTAACAACATGGTAATTCTAGGTATAGTCCTACGCTTCTTACTAATACTTGCCTCCCTCCAGGGTTCTATGACCGCATCGTGCAACCTTTAAACTTATATTACACGCGTATGTTGGACTATGCAAGGACATTCCCCACAACTACCAACTCCACATACAACAAAGAGTAACCTACATCAAAGAACATAGTATATCCCAGTAGACCACCCTCCAACCCTAACCCAAGCACCACACTAAACCCTTCTTAATATAAGTACAAGTTAGCCCCCGCTCGTCCGATGCTTATCTTGCCCTAATCTCGGGGCAGCGGAAGTTACGCCCACATCTCGCCCACACCTCGGTATGATCCCCCCAGCTCTGGCACGGTCCCTACTTTATGCTATCTGATCGTGGGACCTGAGGTTCCTGTAAATCCGGGGAGCTTGTGTGGAGTCTGATGCGGGAGCTTGTTTTTGATCCTGGATCCTGGGTTTGAGCTTGTTCAAAAATACAGTATATATATGTATTAATTACACTGGTATTTTTCAGCTGTTTTTTTTTTCTTCACTACCTTCAAGACACATTTTAGGACTACTAGTCTACTCTCCGTATATATATCCAATTATGTTTACATATAGAACAATTCTGGGACAATAAATGCCTCATATCATATTATCCGACGGGACATCACATCTAAATCCGCCGGTGAACATAGGAAAATGAAATCTAATCAACGGAGAATCATGTACGTCGGCACCAGAAGGACCGGGTCTTTTCGCCCGGGCGGGAAGTAACGCCATACCCTCAGCAAAATAGGACAGACGCCGGGGTGACATCTACATCCGCAGACCTCCCCCGGAATCCCGCAAAAAACAAGTCATATCATGCCATGCATTATACCACAAACCGATGCAACGGACACACGCTGCAAACAAACATCAAATAAGGATTAAACTGTTTATGCGCCGAATTCCTTGACGTCGCTCTTCTTGCCCAGGAGGGCAAGGGGGACGATGCCGCTGACGTGCATCTCGGGGCCGTAGACGTGCATGTCGAGACCAAGCTCGATACCGACAGACTTGATGTTCTTGAGACCCTCCTGGTAGTTGGGACCGGCACGACGGACCCAGATCTGGACCTTGTGCTCGTTGAGGACGGTAGCGACCTCGCGGATGGCGCGGATGACACCCTTGAAGGTGCTGGCCACGTTGGTGAAGTTGGCAATACCACCTCCGATGAAGAGGACCTTGCCCTCGGGGTGGGTGGGGGCACGCAGCATCAGGTCCAGCACGGTGCGGGCGTAGTTGAAAGTCTGGGTCTCGGTGGGGGCACCGGAGTACTCGCCGTAGTTGGCAAGCTCGCTGACGAAACCAGCGGAGGCAATGGCGTCGGCGTAAACGACGGAAGCACCACCACCGGCGACGAGGGTCCACACACGGCCGCTGGCGTTGAGGACGGTCAACTTGAGCGAGGCACCGGTCTTGGCATCCATGTCGGAGATGAACTTCTCCTCCTTGGTCAATTCACGACCGAAGGGGGCGGGGAACTCCATTGGTGGGCCAGCGTCGATGCTGACCTTGCCATCACTCGAGGGGAGGGCAGGGGAGCCCAGGGCAGCGGGACTGCGAGCAACAGCCCACTTGGTACCGCACTCGAACTCAGCGGTCTGGTCGAGCTTGGCGGCCAAATCCAAGAAGTGAACCTCGGCGGAGGTGGCGTCAGCGTTGGGGATGACAACCAGAGGGTTGATCTCGAGGTAGGTGAACTGGCAGTCAACGTAGACGGCGTACAGGCGAGAGATGAAGTCAACCAGGACATTGTGAACACCCTTGGGGACCTTGCTCAACAGGGTCGCGGCGATCTCCTCGTTGGAGGGGTATTGCTTGAGGTTGACGGGGATCAAGAGCTTCTCAGCCTTAGCATCGACATCACCGACGTCAACACCACCCTCGTGAGTGAAGAGGATCCAGTCACCCTAGAATTGGATTATTAGCTTCCATATTCTTTCAATTGCGCTTGAAACTGCGGGGAAAGCTTACCTCACGGACGGAGTTGATGTTGATGTAGTATTCGGTCTCCTGGGGGTGAGGCACGAAGGGCTCAACCAGGAATTGGCGGAGAACACCAGTGACGGTCTCAACCAGGACATCCTTGGTGGCACGAGCCTCAATCCAGTCCCGGGCCTCGGTCCAGGTCTTGTTCAAGGCGAGCAGACCGCTCTTACCCCGACGCTTGATCAATTGATCGGGTTTGGCGACGAACTTGGCGCCGGGGGTCAGAAGCCAAGGGAAAGAGATCTCAGCCTGGTCAAGGACATCCTTGACGGCCTTGTCATCGGGGAAGTGAAGGGAAGCGAGGCGGGCAGGAGGGTTGTGTGTTGCGGAGGCAGGGAGAGGAGTAGGCTTAATCACTGGGGCGCGAGTGAGGTGGTAATTGAGGATGGCCTTGCCGTCGGCCTCGAGGATAGATTTGGCGGACATGATGTGATGATGTGTGAGAGATGTGAAAGAGAGAAAGGGAAAAGGAGGGGGATATTTTGAGCTGAAGGGAAAGGAAAAGGTGGGAATTGTTCAGGTGTGTACTGTAGTGTACGGCGTACACCAAAAAAAAAAGTTGTGCTGGATATTACAGCGTACAACTCGGCAGGTCCCACCTGTTGAGGAACAGACCAGAACAGATAAGGTGGGGGGAGGGATGTGACCTTCGTTGGGAATTCTCCACAAATAGTACGGAGTACTTACGGGTACTTCTTGTGGCGCCACTTATTCTACTTATTTCGAGGTACTCGTTGGTTCCCCGATACCGCTTTTTTAGTTCAAATGTTGAGACCGGGATTCGGGGATTTATTACAATCCCCCGACTATATGTATACGCCGATATATCTTTTTTTTTTTTTTGATTTCAATGTTTTAGAACACCCTCCATACTATGAATATACATATGTCTAGATTCAATAGAAGACCAAAGCTATATAGACTTCAAATACTACCTACATGTGCAACTGTACTATCCGAATGCAACATATAACCTTTGAAAAATACACCCCATACTAATACGTGTGGATACAGTATCGTCGGTACCCGGTACTTTGGGGACTGCCAAGTGTTGAGCTGTTCTGCGGATCCAGCGGTCTGGGACGAGCTGTACGGTGTATCTGCGAGTACTCCGACTATCTCACCCCGCGGGTTTTTTTCTCAACAGCTGCTTCTTCTGCCCCCTTCTCTTTTGTACTACTTCCTTTTTCTCCTTTTCCTCTAATTCCTCCTAATTTCGCATCGAGCGGCTTGTTTAACCCATAAAGTAAGTGACCTTTTTTTTTTACCCTTCTCTAATCCATTGCTCTTCCGCATATCCACTCCCCTCCAAACCGTCTTGACTGCAATTGCCTGCACTATTGGACAATTGCTTCGAAATCCAACTTGCATGCTAATTGCCATCTAGATTCATCATGCCCTCTACTCTCTCCGCCGGCAACGGCGTGCAGTCTGCCAACGACAACATCACCCGCTTCGCCCCTCCTAGCCGTGCCCTCTCGCCCTCCCAACACAGCCTTTTCCACAACAAGACACGATGCTTCGTGTAGTAAGTCATTGGATTCTGCTCTTACGACCTCGGTATGAGACTAACGGAGAAACCAGTGGTATGCAACCCCGAGCCGTGCAGGGCATGCTCGACTTTGATTTCATCTGCAAGCGCTCGACTCCTTCCGTGGCCGGTATTATCTACACCTTCGGTGGTCAGTTCGTCAGCAAGATGTACTGGGGTACCAGCGAGACCCTCCTTCCCGTCTACCAGGATGTTGAGAAGGCCATGGCCAAGCACCCTGACGTTGACACCGTTGTCAACTTCGCCTCTTCTCGCTCCGTCTACACCTCCACCATGGAGTTGATGGAGAACCCCCAGATCCGCTCCATCGCTATTATTGCCGAGGGTGTGCCCGAGCGTGTAAGTTCTGCCTCTTCCCCGTAACTATTTCGGATGTAGTGCTAACGACTACCATAGCGTGCTCGTGAGATTATGGTCACCGCCAAGGAGAAGGGTATCACCATTATTGGCCCCGCCACCGTTGGTGGTATTAAGCCCGGTGCTTACAAGATCGGTAACACTGGTGGTATGATGGACAACATTGTCGCCTCCAAGTTGTACCGCAAGGGTTCCGTCGGCTACGTCTCCAAGTCCGGTGGTATGTCCAACGAATTGAACAACATTATCTCCCAGAACACCGACGGTGTGTTCGAGGGTGTTGCCATTGGTGGTGATCGTTACCCCGGTACCACCTTCATTGATCACTTGCTCCGCTACCAGGCCGAGCCCGAGTGCAAGATCCTTGTGCTGCTCGGTGAGGTCGGTGGTGTTGAGGAGTACCGTGTGATTGAGGCCATTAAGAATGGCACCATCACCAAGCCTATCGTCGCCTGGGCTATCGGAACCTGCGCCAGCTTGTTCAAGACCGAGGTCCAGTTCGGTCACGCCGGTGCCTCCGCCAACTCTGATCTCGAGACTGCCGTCACCAAGAACAAGGCTATGCGTGAAGCTGGCATCTACGTCCCCGAGACCTTCGAGGACCTCCCCCAGATCCTCAAGCAGGTCTACGACGCCGAGCTTCAGAAGGGCAACATCACCCCCGCCCCCGAGCCCGTTGTGCCCAAGATCCCCATCGACTACTCCTGGGCCCAGGAGCTCGGTCTCGTCCGTAAGCCCGCTGCCTTCATCTCCACCATCTCCGACGACCGTGGCCAGGAGCTGCTCTACGCCGGTATGCCCATCTCCGATGTCTTCAGAGAGGATATTGGCATTGGTGGTGTCATGTCTCTCCTGTGGTTCCGTCGCCGCCTGCCTCCCTACGCCAGCAAGTTCCTCGAGATGGTTCTCATGCTGACTGCCGATCACGGTCCCGCCGTTTCCGGTGCCATGAACACCATCATCACCACTCGTGCTGGCAAGGATCTCATCAGTGCTCTCGTTTCCGGTCTGCTGACCATCGGTTCGCGTTTCGGTGGTGCCCTGGATGGCGCCGCTGAGGAGTTCACCAAGGCCTTCGACAAGGGTCTGAGCCCCCGTGACTTCGTCGACACCATGCGCAAGGAGAACAAGCTGATCCCCGGTATTGGCCACAAGGTCAAGTCCCGCAACAACCCCGATCTCCGTGTCGAGCTTGTCAAGGAGTTCGTCAAGAAGCACTTCCCCAGCACCAAGCTGCTCGACTACGCTATCGCCGTTGAGACTGTCACCACCTCCAAGAAGGACAACTTGATCCTCAACGTCGACGGCTGTGTCGCTGTCTGCTTCGTTGACCTCCTCCGCAACTGCGGTGCCTTCTCCCCCGAGGAGTGCGAGGACTACATGCGCATGGGTGTCCTCAACGGTCTGTTCGTGCTCGGTCGCTCCATCGGTCTCATTGCCCACTACCTCGACCAGAAGCGCCTGCGCACCGGTCTCTACCGCCACCCCTGGGATGACATCACCTACCTCCTCCCCACCCTGCAGAAGGGCGGTGCCGAGGGCCGTGTTGAGGTCAACCTGTGATTTTGTTTACGTTTTGCAGCGCCGTCCGCTGGCATATAGTCCGTCCGTTGAGGGCGGTGGAGTTCGGATGGTTCATCCCTTGGTTTTTCTTTTTTTATGTTTTCTGAGCAGTCATGTATATCGATGTACTGCGTTCATGTGGCATGACCAAGTTGACGGGTTGACACTCAAGAAGGGTGCAACCCGGCTACAGATCTGATTTAATTCGTTTTGCAGTAGATGACTAGACCTCTTTGGGAAATAATGAACGTGCCTTTGCCGCATGATATTTTTTCAGCATAGTCTGTAGTATTCATAGTTGAAATATTCAAAGTTGAGCCATGCTGTGGTCTTCTCGAGGGCCAACCTTGAAAGGTTGTCCAGATGGGCCGCCCGATTAGGAAATATCCTTATCGCTTATCGATCGCAATCTTTTCTAGCCTCAATCTCAGCTAGATTCACCCACCTTACATTCTGTACCCAGCAAACCACATCTACACCCAGCTCTGGTATAATCCGAAAGAGCCATCCGGTACCCTATCTGCAGGGCTTTCAAGGCATCGCCTCCTCTGAACTCTAATCCCAACCCAACAACATCACCAACCTAACACAACCACACCACCATGGTCCGCCTCAAAAACCGCTACCTCCTCGTGGACATCCTCTACCCAGATCCAAAGACCTGGCCGGCAACCTCAACAACAAAACCACACAACCCTCAATTGGCAATCCACTCTCCAACATCTGACGCCCTAACCCAAGGCTTCCTAGCCAAGATGATCCGCGAATCCGTCGCAGAGCTATACGGCGACTGGGGAATCGGCAAGCTAGGCGGTGCCTCCGCAGGCGGAATTACGAGTAAGTTTCCATTCCCCACCACATCCAACCCCTCCATCCATCACCACAGAACCACCCACTAAACATACTATAGTAAAATACCTCTCACCAGCAACATCCACCGCCATAGTGCGGTGTCCACGCGCCTCCTTCCGCCTCGTCTGGTCAGCGCTTACGTACATGTCCGGCGTGCCGGAGCCGGCAAATGGCCCGAAACGCGCGGGGACGGGACGCGAGCGTGGGTGTGTTTTCCGCGTGATTCGGGTCTCGGGGACGATGCGGAAGGCCGAGGAGGAGGCTATTCGGAGGGCTAGGAGGGAGATTGTTAGGGTTAAGGATGCGGAGGAGAGGGGGGTTCTTGGGGGTTTGGTTGGTGGGTCTAGTGTTGTTGATTGTGTTATGGATGAGAGTGAGGATGAGGGGATGGTTGGGGATGATTGAGATGATGTGGGTAGGTGTTGTATTGTACTTTGTTCAACTTTTAATGAGATACCCCAGTTTTTGGTGCGTTAAGTTATGCATGGTTTCGGCTATCGTACATTTATCGTATCATATTTGACGTTTGGCATGGGAAGTCGTTAGAACAGGATTACTTGCGGTGCACCCGCACGCCACTGTCTGGCATATCTTTCTTCCACTTCTCCAGTTCCTCGTCATAGTCATGTCCATCATCCTTATCGTAGTCATTTCCGTCGTCTCCACCATCCGCCGCACCCGTCTTCTCGACCTGACTCGCCGCATTGCGCAAGCGAACTTCCTCCTCCAAATCCTTCTCCTCCTGCTCATCATATTCATCCTTAGCATCCACCCAACGCTCCTGCACATCCCGCACGTCTGTGACACCCATGCCCTCCCGAACAGCTACTTGCCAGACAGTATCGTTGGCGCCCTCGGCAGGACCAAAGGCATACCCGGACGCACGGTCGATGGAGCGTAGGAGACTCATCATACTCTTTTTGTCCTCAACGGCCAGCGTCTCGAAGGCAACGAGGCCGAATTCCTCGACCAGGTCGATGATGGTCTGGTTCAGCTTGCCGAATTTCTCGTGCGAGAATCGCGAGGACTCGCTTTCCAGTTCGGGGAGTAGGTAGGAGAGGTCTTGTACTTCGGTGTAGTAGTCTAGGTTGAAAGGGAGTGGGGCGTAGTTGGCGAGATTGTCGATTTTGGTGAGGACGTTTAGGTGTGGGAGGTCGAGTTGGAGCATAGCGCGGAGGGAGAGGAGGAGGGCGGAGATGTACATTGAGGGGAGGGTGAGGGTATAGGAGTCGACGAGGTGGACGACGATCAACTGTTTAATAAAGAGCCTGGTTAGTTTGGTTTCTTTTGTGCTGCAACTGAGGTCCTGCTGCGACTAACCCGGATGCCCATCTTCTGGATCTTGTAGAAGATGTTGCGTAATGAGGCGTGGTGTGTAAATAGCTCGACTTGACCGGGACAGTCGAAAAGAATATAATCATCTGTGAATTCATCAAAACTTGTTAGTATTTGAAATTTATATGGCCAGCACATAATCAGACATACCACCAAGCTCCTTCAGCCCGCTCTCCAGCCATTCGAAGTTGTTTTCGAGCTCTTCGAGAGCATATAAGACACCACCATTCGGACCCAACTTGTCCTCTTCCATAATATCCTCTAGAGTAACTAGATCACGTACGTCCAGCGCGCATGGATAAGAGGTCTTGTCGTTGGCGGGGTCAAGGTTAACGACAGAGCATTTCCGGCCGATTGCGCCTAAGAACTGATGCATGCCATTGCAGTACGTGGACTTGCCAGCACCCGGTGGGCCAATCACCAGCTGGGCAAAGGGCATCTTGTTAATGTCACGAAGATGTGAGACGTTGTGTTTTTGCTGAAAACGAATGATGTCAAGCCGTTTGGTCTTTTTTCCTTATCGATGCAGCGCGGGGAATCAGAGGGCGGTGACAATGGCAGAAAAGGAGACGGCCAAAGGCCCCGGGGAGCTTGGGGTTTGATCTTCTACAACTCTGCAGCTTGCCCAATATGACTTCTCGTGAGTACTTCTCGTTATAATCTTCCCCCAGATTTGAACCATGTCTAATTTATTGTTGCAGATCAATTCATTGTGGCATCCCCACCTACGGATGCTATCTCGGCCTTGAAGTTCTCCCCAGACCCCAACTCCGCGCGGATCGTCGTTTCGTCATGGGATAAGAACGTGTACCTGTATGACCTGCGGGATGAGAATGGAAAGGTTGGAGAGGGAAAGCTATTGCAGAAGTTTGAGCACCGCGCTCCTGTACTGGACGTCTGCTTTGGCGAGAACGAGAACGAGATCTACACAGCTGGACTGGATTGGGACGTGCGGAAGTGAGTTACTCCATTGGGTCCTACTGCTACCATGACCTGAATCGTGGCCTACGAGCTGTACTGACCGTACTGACCGTACTGATTAGGATCGACCTCAACACCTCCGAACAGACCGTGCTCAGCAGCCACGAAGCCGGCGTGCGCCATGTCCTGTACAGTCGCGAGCACAACATCGTCATCTCCGCATCGTGGGATTCAACACTGCACATCCACCTATCAGATGCCGGCGCAAACCCCGACTCCCTGCCGATTATCGTCCCCCTCCCGTCGAAGCCATTCTCCATCTCCGCAACTGCCACGAAGCTGATCGTCGCGATGGCATCGCGCGCATTGCACATCTACGACCTCAAGGCCCTGGCCCTTCTCACCGCACAAGCAGATGGCACAGCCCCAGGCGATAACCGAGTCGAAGTTGAGCCCTGGCAACGCCGTGAAAGCAGCTTGAAGTTTATGACCCGCGCGGTTGCATGTATGCCTGATGATGCTGGGTACGCCTCGTCCAGCATTGAGGGTCGTGTCGCAGTCGAGTGGTTCGACCCGTCGCCTGAATCTCAGGCCCGCAAATACGCTTTCAAGTGCCACCGCCAGACTGCCGAGGATGGCGTAGACGTCGTCTACCCTGTCAACGCATTGGCTTTCCACCCAGTTTTTGGCACCTTTGCGTCCGGCGGTGGTGATGGTGTTGTTGCGCTATGGGATGGAATCTCTAAGCGCCGTATCCGTCAATATCAAAAATATCAAAACAGTGTCTCAGCTGTTGCGTTCAGTGCGAGCGGCCAGCATCTGGCCATTGCAGTCAGCCCTGGATTCGAAGACGGCCATGACGAGGTTCCCGAAGGCACAGTGAAGATTTACGTACGGGAGTTGGGCGAGACGGAGGCCAAGGGTAAGGGCGCAAAATAGGTACTTTCCTTGATTCTATACTGAAATGAAGCGTCTGTCCAATGTTGATACCACACATGAAATCTAATTTAAAAAACAATCCAAAACGTAATCGCAAGCAATCACCAGTTCAATTCCAATTATAGCATTTTTTTTCCAAGGTTGAACAAGCGCAAAATCTTGGTATCTAAGTTATTTACGTAGTCTTATATTCGTCCCCAAAAGTCCACTATACATCTACTCAGCCTTGCGAACAGAGACCGTCCCGTCAGCCATACCGAAGTAGGCCGCAACAGGTCGCTGACCACCAATACCACCGGCAGCAGTAGCCTGGGGGCCGGTCTGGCCGTGGAAAATACCGACCTCAAGCACACCGATGATATCCCTGATCTTGCGAGCCAACACATCAACCGCCCACACACCATCCTTGCCATTACCATCCTGGCCAGCCTCAATATCCGCCTTGACTAGCAGGGGTTTGAAGGGAGCATCAATAAGGAAGAAGCCCTGATCGGTCTTAAGAGGACCTTGCTTGGCGGCCGCGGAGGCCCGAATGGCGGGGTTGACACTGCCGAGTTCCTGCAGCTTGAGGAGAACGCGATGGGCGGCGATCGGGGCGACCTCGATGGGGATTCCTTTCCAGTTTGTGAGGAGACGGGGCTGGAGTTTGCGGTAATCTGAGATTGCGAGCGTTAGTTGGGGGGGTAGCATTGTTATATAGCAAAGAGGAAAGAAAAACAGGAAAAAAAACCAGAGTTGGCTGTACTTCCGAGTCATCACCCAACTCAAACCCCATAACTACAATGCAAAATGAAGATCATATTAGATCCGATCAAAACTCACCGGCAACACAGATGAACTCCTTAGCCTGCATAGCGACGATCTTCTCCTGGAACAAGCATGCACCGCCGCCCTTAATGCAGTTCAAATCCTCGTCGACCTCGTCCGCACCATCGAACGCCACGTCGAGGACAGTGCCCAGCGGAATGGAGTCGTACTCAACAGCAGTCAATCCGGCGCTCATGATCAGCTGCTTGGACTGGTAACCGGTCGGGATGTACTTTGTGGCGGAGGTGTCGACACCGAGGGCCTTGATGGCCTCGACGACGTACACGATCGTCGTACCACTGCCGATACCGACCCAGCGGGCATCCTTAGGGTAGTGGTTTCCGACAGCGACCTTTGCGGCGGCGCGCTTTGATTCTTCGACTGCGGACATGGTGGATTGGAATCTGGGAAGAGTGCGAAAGAGTGTGGGGATGGTGGGGAGGGTAAGTTTACGGCAAAGGAAAATAGGGAAGAAGGCTGATTGGATCATGGGAGTCCTCTCTATAGAGGCTCTTTGAAACGTTAGGAAATGGGAAAATATAGAGGGAGTGAAATTAAGTAATAGAGCATTGAATGTATAGCTTTACTTTAAGAAGTCTATAACGTCACGTTACAATTGTGGGGTTTAGCCATTTCTATAAGATACAGGCCTAGGCATTCTACATCATTATATATCAAGTTTATATATAGAGACATTAATATGTCTAAGTATTATCAGTCTCATATTGTATGAAGGGGAAATATAAACTCGGATCAACTACGGAGTACCCAAATAGTATACTCTTTACGGAGTATACAAGGACCAGAATGTCACAATCTATCAACTTTTTTCTTAGACAGCAATGGAGAAAGCAAATAGAAAGTACACATTCAAAAACCCCTTTTAACAGAATAGCTGTTCCCGTCTCTTCCTGCCATACCACCACATTTCATCCGGGAAGAACATATGAACATTGTACTCCAGTCTAAAAGACTGAACAGATGCAGACCATTGGAATCTTCCACTCAGTCCACATAGGCATGGACTAAGTTGTGCAAATCTTCTTCACAGCGGGCAAAAACACCTCTATATAATCAATTAGCTTAAGCGTTTCCTTATATGGAAAAAGAAAAGAACTTACTCTGAACAAATTTCGTGCCACACTTCTCATCCACGCAGCTTGCGCCAGCGTTATCAATCACATCTTGGGCCAAGCAGATACAGTCCCAGTCATTCTTTATGCAGCCAGTTTCCTTAGTTATTGTGTCCAAGCAAGCAAAAGCACAGGCAGGAAGTTCCCCCCTAGGGCATGTGCGAGTCTAGCGAAGGCGAGGACAACAACGGACAACTTCATCTTGGATAATTTGGTCTGATGAAATAGCTCAATTGATGTAGAGATGAGTAGACTTCATACATGGTGAAATCGGGGCAATGAATGGTATAAATATTCCACGGACTAGGTACTAAATAAAGCTTGGCCGAGGATCTCTTTCAGCTCTGCCTTTGAGATGTACATTAATGACAATGTAGAGTGCCTTACTATTGTTCTTTCGCCAAAGTGAACTCGAATCATGCTGGTCCCAGGTTGATCCTATGTCGATCTCGTTTCGACTACTCCATGCTTTGTGCATATTGAGGATGTGCTATAGATTCAATCTCCCAGTTCTTATATCATTCCCGCAAGAGTTGAACCACGTCAATTAAGTCCAATGTTCAGTCCTCAGGTTAATCCACATCTTATAATTAGTTGTGGAACAAAGAAATAGTCATCTGCGTGGGCTATAGTTAACTATAGTATAAGCCGCGACAGCCTAGGATTATCAAAGGACTCGGTGTTGCCACTAGAATTTCAAAAAGAACTGATTTATCTGCAATTCTAAATTACAAACATCTTACTGCTCCAGCGAACTACATGTAGAATATTAAAACCCTAGTCAACTATACAAGATCCATTGAGGCTCATGTTAGCCTGGATTATCAGGCCATAATATGCGCTTACTAAAAACAGTCGCGCATCAACAAGTCAACATCCACGACTTCATCATTTGAGAAACTTACAGAGTAAGAAGCAAACACTGTAAGCGACACGAGAAACATCACATAACGATAAACAAGCAATGATTTAAGCCTCAAAACGAAGCTCTATCTCCTCCGCAATACTTGATATCCACCATGACGGATGCCTTCCCCGCCGCCCTGTCAGGGCCAACGTCCAAGGAGCGCAAATATGATCGCCAGCTCCGCCTGTGGGCAGCAACTGGCCAGCAAGCACTTGAAGACTCTCATGTTCTGCTTGTGAACTCTGATGGCCCTCTCGGCCAATACAACACCGGCGTCTCCGGGGTTGCTGGCGTTGAAACACTCAAGAACCTTGTACTGCCTGGAATTGGTGGTTTCACTATCGTCGACCCAGCAATAGTTACCGAGTCTGACCTGGGCGTGAACTTCTTTTTGGAAGAAGAGTCCCTGGGCAAGTCCCGTGCCGAGGAAACTTGCCGACTGCTGAAAGAACTGAATCCAGACGTGCAGGGACATTACTATCTCAAGGTATGATCTTCCATGTCCCAAAAGTAAATGACTGTTGACTGACTTCTGAAATAGCGCGTTGAGGAGCTTCTGATAGACCCTGAATTCTTGCCCCAGTACAAGCTGGTAATTATTTCTGGCCCAATGAGACGCTCGACACTGGTACCTCTGACCCAGGAAGCAAAGCAACTGGGTATCCCCGTGTTGTACCTGCACTCAGTCGGGTTCTTCTCCACCTTCTCCGTGCAATTGCCGGCTGAATTCCCTATCGTTGAGACACACCCGGACCCAGAATCAACCCAGGACCTGCGTCTGCTGAATCCCTGGCCTGAGCTTGTCGCGGCCGCAGCCAACTTGGATAATCTGGACACCGTGGATGACCATCAGCACGGCCATGTGCCCTATATACTTCTCCTACTTCATTTCCTGGAGCAATGGAAACAGTCTCATGCAGGCAACGCACCAAGTAACTACAAAGAGAAAACCGAATTCAGGGAGTTTGTGCGGTCTCAGACACGCACTTCTAACCCAGAGGGCGGCGAAGAGAACTTCGATGAGGCAGTCGCTGCTGTACTGAAGACAATTTCCCCATTCAGCCTACGCAGCTCGATCCGCGAGATCTTCGAGATGAACGAGTGTCAGCAGCTGTCGGCATCATCCCAAGATTTCTGGGTCATAGCCTCAGCCATCAAAACCTTCCACGCCTCTCACGGTGTCCTCCCCCTCCCAGGCTCCCTACCAGACATGAAAGCCCAATCCGCAGACTACGTGTCACTACAAAACATCTACAAGGCTAAAGCACGACAAGACATCGAAGAAGTGACAGCAACGGTACGCCAGCTCGAATCCCAGCTCAGACGCCAAACCCCCGCAATCCCAGATCGAGAGATCGAAGTATTCTGCAAGAACGCCGCACACATCAAAGTCGTGCTCGGCCGCGATATTCCGCAGATAAGCATTGACAGCGACGCATCGACACTGAAAACCATCCGTAACAGGCTAAGTGACCCGGACACCCTGATCCCGATATTCATCGCGACGCAGATCCTCGATTCTGTCGTGGACGAGATCCAATCGAGCAGGAGTGAAGAAGAACGCTCTGTTGACAACGACGCGCTGTGGAATAGCCACACGGAACGCATCCTCGCTCTGTTGACTGCGGCCGATGGATCGGCTGTTTGTCAGGAGGCGCGCGCGCAGATCGCCCGTGCGATTAAGGAACTGCGTCGGGCTGAGGGCGGCGAGTTGCATAATATCTCTTCGTTGACGGGTGGTTTGGTTGCGCAGGAGGCGTTGAAGGTAATTACTAGACAGTATGGTCCGCTTGATAATACTTGTGTCTTTGATGGGGCTAGGAGTAAGAGCGAGATGTATAGACTGTGAGTGGGGGATGGGATTTGCTATGGACGTGCTGGAGATTACATTGAGTTATGCAGGTCTCGAGGTACTCGTCGAATTCGTGGAGATGTTACTCAAAGCCATGTTATGATTTATGATCCAATGATATTGTGATTTGTAGATCTCAATAAGTAGTATCCAACTATGTATGCCTTGTTGCTTAAATGGCCCAGGAGATATATTCAAATTGGCGAGCTTGGGTCGTTCTTTCAGTGGGAATACCAATACATTTTCATGCAGTAGTATGGGATATGTAGATCTTCACTCCAATGTGTATGTAGCCAGACCG